AGAGCGACATTCTCGACCAGTTCACTGTAATCGTGTACACGGCTGGTCAAAGACTGAGTTGTTACCGATTATTATATAATGTTATCGGTTATTTTTTATTCCGTGTCACCTATTTGTGTGGGGGCTACTTTGCACTTGTTCAATGGTGGCAGCCTATCCCCTGTATTTTCAGTACGCGATAGTCTCAAAATAAATTGCTATCAATTTCGTATACAGCATTGCCGATAATCGACTTTTTCTAGGAGTTTGAGAACCACGTCAATTCAAACCCCTTTACCCCGAACCCGTTTCAAAATTCTTAAACTTAAGTGCGACAACTAAAAGAAACATCGGAATTTTTTTAGCTCGGAATTTTCATTGTAGTCTTGTTTATGAATTTAACGGAAATTTCAAGTTTGTGAATAATATTAACCCTGAAAATTAAAAAATAATTTTATAACTGTTTAATCTTTCTATACTCTGCCATTCCACTTCTTCTACCAAAAAAAATATTTTTCGGTGCCAAAATATTGCGGTGCCAGGCTTCATAGACACACAAAAGCTTTTGAAAATTTATCTACCTTAGACGCTTTTTATTCACTCATTAATCATTTTTATATAAATATCACTTGCATTCAACTTTTCTTACTTATTTTTGCATCTCTTAAATCGTCATCCTAAAGTTCGACGCTTGCTAAGTTCAAATGTCAAGTACATTAAGTGTAGCACAAGTCGTCCGCCTCATCATGTGCTGTTGTGCCTAGTTCATCACTCATATTATCTATTGTGGATACTTTTACTCTCGTGTGTTCGCCTTTCCTCCCGTTGTCTTGAAGATCATCGATCCGTACGCTGGTCCGCAATCTCTGAATCACGCTAAGGTTGCGTGACGGACTCACGATCTCCAACTGCTATCGAGCGGCTCCTGGACCCGAGCACAACGAGCGCGTCCTATTGTGCTCGACTTAATCTTGGTCTATTAAATGAATAGTTCTCGTTTCGGTGCACACGATGAAATTATCTGAACTATTAAGGCTAGAGGATTCATGGCGCAGTTTGTATTGATGCAGCTGTCACGCTGAAGGTTATCACAATATACATCTCTTTAATCATCTTCATGTCTAATGCCTTTCATTGTGTTGCGTGCTCCGCGATTTTAAAACTTTGGTCCCATCTCAGCTAGAGTCAACTCGTCGTATCAACAACATTCTGCTCGCATTTATTTCAAATCATTTATAGCGGACGAGTTTTCTCGTGATTATTATTGTTTAAATCTTTCTTATTGTCTTGGCTTTTGCGTGGCCGGTCGGGGGCCGGCACGTTTCCCTCTCTTGCTCCCCTCCCGCCCGGGCTGCTCTAAGAGGGCCAACAAGCACCGCTTCTCAGTAACTGGCCAAGACACGCCTGAACCGCTGTGTGATACAAGCCTCTCTGTATTTATGTATCATTCGCATCTCTGTATTTATGTATATCTGTATCATTGTATCATACATACCTCTGTATGTATGATAGTGGATCATTGCATTACAGTTGCGTGTACCTGCTCAGTTATACTAGCTCTCTCCTTGTATATCTTGCGTCCTAATACGTAATATGATATAATATAAAAGGCACTGTAATGTCGTTCTATCCATCTATTTCATTTGCATGGACCAGTTGTGTGGGAATAGACCTGTTTTTTTAGTTTAGTGTGAAGAGACGAGAAAAATTCAAAACTATTTGAAGGGCATTCATTTCTGGTGTATTTTACGTTGACCTTCGATAACACGTGAACCGCTGACAATGAAGGTCGGTTGCTACGAAGTAACGGCGTGTCATCCTGCATGTGACTCTGCCTTTGATTAGAGCGTTTCAGTAAGACCTTCAGTAAATTCATGAAATAGATTTCACTTCATATTCACTGTCGTCATTAGATTATTTTAGGGCTGATAGGAAAATTACTCTAATTTTTACTATTTGAAAATTTAATATCGATATTGAATCCATAATTAGTCTTCACTAATTGAGGCATTTCTACTTTGGAATATACGCCTAGCAAAGTGACTAAAGTGATTTTTGCTCAATTGGTTATATGATAAGTAACTTTTAGATATTCCAATAAAAACGATTTCTAAATTTTTATCGCGATCTTGAGGTTATTTCGAACGAAGTTGATTGTTCTGTAATTTTATTGTCCTGTACTCATTTACTGTTAGTGGTTATACTCGTATTCGCGTTACGTTCATCTCTATTATGGGCGACGATCAACGAATGTCTCGAGGAAACAGAGATTTTCCTCCGGGAGGCTTCAACAAAACTAATCGTGAAGGCAGCGGCAATGCCTTCACCAGAGGACAGAAGGACCGCCAGGGCTTGGGGAGCAACACCAACTTGTCGGACGTGGTGGGCAAACCTGGGGCTCAGCGCCGAGAAAACCTCGCTGAAACTATATCCAAATCAGGGGGCGACCGCACCCCTGGTGGAAGCAATCGTGGGTTTACGCGACCCGGGAACACAGCAACTCCTGATGAATCCAGCGATTCGTCCAGGTCGACCTCTTCCAAGGATTCTAGCGAAACTCTCGTTAACGGCAAAACTGTTCAGCCGCAGGACCGACCGGTTCAACTTTCCGAGCCTGTGCAAGTGAGTTTTACCTGCTGAGTATTATTTTGTTCTGTTTTGCTGCATATACATAGTCGACTTCACATGTCAATTCGGAAGACTTTATTCTGCACAAAGATTCTTATTGAATTACGACCCCCTTTTATTCGTTTTTTTTACTGACTCAGGGGAATTAGTTTCTAAATAAGTATCAATGAATTTCAATGAATTCGAATAAATTTTGTAGTGTGGGCGTTAAGGCATTTGCGTTGTGTAATCCGAAACGACAATACAAGCTAAACTCCACAGACTCTAGCGCCAATATTTATGTATCTTTCGATGACTGAAGCTAAACTCCACGGATTATAGCGCCAACATTTAAATATCTTTCAATGTCGAGAGTCAAACTCCACGGATTCTAGTGCCAACATTTAAGTATGTTCCGTTGTCGAGAGCAAAACTCCACGGATTATAGCGCCAACATTTAAGTATCTTTCGATGATGAGAGCTAAACTCCACGGATTCTAGCCTCAACATTTAAGTATCTTCCGTTGTCGAGAGCAAAACTCCATGGATTCTTGCGCTAATATTTAAGTATCTTTCCAAAACAACATTTTATCTTCTAAAGCAGTTGAAAAATGTTGTATTCTTCATTAATATTAGTTCATTATTATGGTAGTAGTTGCTGAAAAGCGAGACTTTAACAAAATTATTTTTTACTTTTGTCCTCATTTTTTTACTTTCTTTCTCGGATTTGGTTGCTTTACTGCAACTTGACAGTTGTGTATGGTCATAGGGACGTTGATCGAAATAGATTTGTTGTTGCCTAATTATGGAATGCTATGTAAAGATTATTGCTCCGGCTATAGGATTGGTCCAGTGACTCCGGTCACGCTCCGCCCTCGAGGAAACCTTGTCTTGGCACCCAGCACGTTTTAGATGCCATCTTTTATTCTTACCTCGTGTCTAACCTTCAACCTTTGCGTTAAAATGATACATAATGATACATTTCTTTATTTTTATTTTCTTCTGTTACATCAACAAGTGTGAAGTATTGATGCCAATTCCCATCTGATATTTAAAAAAAAAATCATTTTTTTCATTATTGGTTTATTAACCATGAAAACCCTTCATCTGTAATCCAAGATGGCTGCAAAAATGCACATTGGTCGTATAAGACTTGTACTTCGACTTCTGCCATGTGATTACATTTAATATTAATTAAAAATTAATTTTTTAATATTAAATTATTAATTACATTTAATATTCATTAAATGTTACTTTTTATTAAATCGCAACTTATACATTGATGTTAGCATACGGGAAGTACAAAACCCTTAACTCTTTCGTGACTGACGAGACTTGTCGGTCGCACACCACCAAGTACGAATAGTTGAGAGTTGAAACTTGAAAAAGTTTAAACTTGATCATGAGTGATTTGTGAACCAAGTAGTAAAAGTGGCTAATAATCATAATAATAATAACTCAAACCCGTCGCCAACCCGTCTTTCCTCGATAGAATTTAGAAAAAACGTAGAACGAAATCGAAAGTAAACCGTTCAACTCCGTTATAACCAGTGACGAATAAATTGCGTGAGGCGAGCTGAACTAGAATGAGCTGAGGATGTGAATGCGTGACTGCCTTCTCTGTGGGGATGATGGGGGGGTGGAGGGGGGGCAACTCTCCCTAGCTCCGCAGTGTCTGTGCGCCTGCCGTGAGTTGAGGGTGCGCTGTGCAACGCTCTTCCTGCTTCACTCGTATGCGCTACGAGTGATTTTAAGAAGCGTGGCTTGAATAATGGTGTAAATTACCGTTTTTTTGTTATTGTCAGTCACGTTCGCTGAATTAGAATATGTGGAGACTATGGCGACTTTTTTAAAATATCGTACACTTGCCACTGAAAAATTCGTTGTTGAACAATAAATCTTCGCTGTAGAAACAATATTTTACATTTTTTATGTGACACTCATTTTGATTTTGAAATATTATAAATTGTGCGTCTGTACTTAATGCATTTAAAATGGTGGCAATAGTTTCAAATTCACCCCATCAATGCATGTGAAGACAACACTGCCGTGATGAACGTGTGCCTTTATTCTATAGATTTATTGAGGTTTGAATAACTTCTTTTCGTCTTGGAAAGCGAAAAAGCTTAAGCGTTTGTGATGCACCTTAATGTGTAGAAATCGATGATAATTAATTCGGAGCGAAGTGTTTTGTTCTGTGTTCTTAATCGGAAAACAATAAATAAACAATCTGTTTTGATACGTGGATTAAATTTTTTCGGAAACGACTTCTTTTGCTGTCTCCGCAAAAATCTTGGCCAGCGACGTTTTTGACTCAACGAAAATAAGGATTATGAATTAAAATTTAAATATCTTTGATTTATTTGTGCTTTCGATATTATTTCGTTGTGCCACCTCACACACGAAACACGAAGATGACTTCGTATATGAGCGGAGGCGGCGCCATGTCTGGTCTTAGGATCCCGTCAAGCGCTTATATCCCGGGCTCAAGTGCCCTGGACGCTGGTAGGCTGGGGGGAGGCAATCATCAGTACGACTCAGCCTCAAGCATCTATGGCACAAGCCCCACTTATGGGGCCAGTGGTCTTTACGGCTCTAGTCCCACTTACGGCGCTTCGGTGTACGGTTCCAGCCCTACTTACGGCTCTGCAGCGCTCGTGCCCTACAGAAGCACGGCCATGTCCAGCTCTGCAGGTTACGGTTACGGGTCTACGGGATCGTACACTGTCCCTGCCTCAACATTCGCGCCCGGTGGGCCGTACGGCTCGACCGTGTACTCCACAGGGGGTTACGCCATCCCCAGTGTTTACTCCTCCAGCGGGTATGGGTCGTCCGGAGGATATTCCAGTAGATCTGATTATTCCGCTGCGCAGTCACGATGGCGTCTGGATAAGATTCTTTCTCAGCGGCAGCAAGTACGTTCCCAAGTTATTGAATTTATTATAAAGTTGTGGAATATAACCGAATCTACGCAAGAAAATACTGCACATAGTTCTAGTGAGTTTGCATCGCGGGTAGGTGAACGGGATCGTTTCTGGCGCTGCGTTGAAGTCAAATGCTCTTTTTCGATTTTAATGCGACCATCAAGATTTTATCTTGTTTCAGTTTGAGCCGCGCGATGTTTCGCGCATGTCAAGTTTCGTTAATTAAATTTAATGTTACTCTATAAGTTTGGCTAGATATATCTCTGTTCGACTATAGCCCATTTAAATTGTATTTCGATGTCTCGTTTTATCTGCCGATAACCTCGCGCTCGTGTCCGCAGTTAGTGCATATGCACGCTTACTCGAATGTAACTCGCTAGTCCCCGTTGAATATTTTACAGAAATGAGAAATTTATATTTCACAGAATATTTCCCTTTGAATATATCAGAGAATACTTCAGTCGTATATAACCTAATTGAACTGCTTTTCATTACCGTATTTCTCACGTGCCTCGCTTGTGTCATCGTGCACATGTGCGCAGGCTCCCCGCTTGGCCAACGACAGGGCTCAGTTTCCCCGACTCCTCCTCCTGGACGTGCCCAGATTTAGCCCTGCCGCTCGCGTGCCGCAACGCATTTTCCCCTCACAGGGTTTCCCCTCGCTCCCCTTTATGTCTCCTACCATAATAACCTCCCTCGCGTCCCTCATCACTGGCTCTCGCTCATGTTTTGCTCATGTCGCATTAAGCATGAGTCCACCCGGAAGCTGAAGATGTAATTATTAAGCGATGTAATTTTACATCGCTTTGTTTCTGCGTAATTATGTGACTCGACTATCGCAAAACTATACAGCTAGGTCCGTTATATACACTCGTATCAAAATTCAGCCATGAATAGCTAATGCGTTGGTGTGTGTTAGCAATGTGTAAATTTCTAGTTAGTTAGGACTAGGAGACTAGATATTTTTCAGTAAAAGTTCTTAATTTCATGTTTATAAATACTGTAAAAATGCATGTATTGCAATTGAAACGCCGGCTTTTCCGTCGACCTCTTCACCGCAATCAGGGCGTCTTAGTAACAGGGTGATAGTTACTGCGTAAATTGTGAGGAGCGCGTAAATAAACCGTCATTAAATGCCCCCCATATAGGAATTTCACGATTTCTCGTTCGTGCCGCTAAATTAAGAAACATGTGATTGAAACACGTTGGATGACTTTTTAATTACCGGTATGTGTGTTGTTTAATCTTCGTTTAGTATATCTATGAATTTTGTTATGGTTTAGTTAATTTATTTATAAAAATTAATTTTCTGTGTGCGTTTGCATTCATTTTTGTCCTTTTATTTTTTTGCAATAAATTAGTTAACACTTATGCAACTTTTGTCTTGCCAACATAAGTAATTGTTCCGGCCCTATTCTCGGTGATTGCTCATTAATTTAAATGTATAGATAATTGTATGGCGGTGATTCATAGCGCAATAAGTCCTAATGGTCTGACGTGAGCTGTGCCAGCGTTGCCATCATCTCCATTGTCCAGTGTCGTTGTCATCATCAACATCATTATTCATAATACAGTATATCGGCTCAATTGATCTCTTTGATATAAAACACTTAGAAGACGCAAGTTTGAGAAACATCATCGCGTTTCTCGCTTCCTCCTGCTTATTTTATCATTCATTAAATAATAATGAATATAAAGTTCAAAAGAGTTATAGGTATTTTTCTCAACGTGTGCGTATGAGAGTAGAATTACCTTGATTATTTTATCATTCATTAAATAGTAATGAATATAAAGTTAGATAGAATTATATTTGTCGTCACGTGTGCGTATGCGAGTACAATGCGTGACTGGAGCGATTATTTCCGTAGCCCCGCGTCTTGGGCTGGACGCTGGACAGCCCCGGGATACCGCGGTCTTCGTGTTAGACCGTAACAATAATAAAACTCCCTGGCAACTAAATCAAGGAGTATAAGTTCATACTGACCAGAGTAACAACTACAGCGAATACTTTTATATACGCAACCCATAGAGATAGTATATGCAGCTGAAATTCTCTTCAGTCGATAACTAGTCTAAAAGAAAGTATTTGATGGTGTTCGCATCTGCAACTCAGAATGTATTCACGTTTTTTGTTACGCGTTTGATGCAATCATTGTAGGAAATGTTTTTGTATCCTCACAGTTACTACCGAGTTTTGTGGAGTTCACTTCATCTCCACTCCGCGATTAACAATCGTCCGTTCAATCAATTTTACTTACTATCGACTCTTCATCGCCGCGAGTGTATCATCATTGTTTTTATTTTTGTACACTGCATTATCCTAAATATAAGTGTAAAACTTGTTGCTATTCTGCCATTTCGGGTCTGTGTTGTAACTTTATTATTTGTATTCTACTCAGTCTGTGCATGTCTGTGTTGTAACTGCATAACATGTATTCTATTCAGCTTGTGTGGGTCTGTGTTGTAACTGAATAACTCTGTATTTTATGCAGTCTGTTCGGGTCTCCAATATGGAATCGACATACGTGCGAAACGAAGCGCTGCGAACGCTGGACAACATCCTGGGGCATGTGGGCAACACGCCTCTCGTTCGCCTCAACAACATCCCTAAGAGCTGTGGCCTCAAGTGCCAAGTTTGTGAGTAATTATCTAATTTTTTATGTCAAGAAAGCCGAAGGGTTGCTTCAAATGTATATTTGTTGATTTGAAGGTGAAAATTATGCGGGCAAGAATTAACCAACAATATAAGAATAAATTGAAGGATCGGAATGCAATTATGAAGTGGCAAAATTCGTGCGGTCGTGACCATTAAGTTGAATTAAATAAGTCGAATAGGGAAAAACGTTATTCTCACCGTAAATGAATAATTTCACTTGAAAGAAAATATTCACATTCAGTATTATTTAGCTGCACAAATCTGTCGTTGGTGAAGAATGGCGTTTTTACTATGATAACGTTTTGGATGCCAAGGGTCGGCGTTTTTACTTTGATAACGTTTTGGATGCCAAGGGTCAGTACTATTGCACAAGTGATGAGTTAAGATTTATATTCTAAACATAAGCCCCCATTCTCAAAGGTTTACCCGATTACTACTGTCGGTTACTTAAATTGTCACAGCTTTATTTAAAAATATCATTGAGGATGGATAATATAGGTATGTTTAATAAGGATGTCTTGATAGGTGTCTTAATAGATATGTCTTCAACAAATGGTTGAGTATCCCATGTGTGCAGGTGTACGTGCTTCGTGCACTTGGTGCTGAGATCGTGCGCACCCCCACGTCCGCTGCGTTCGATTCTCCGGAGTCGCACATCTCAGTCGCCAAGCGCCTTGAGAAGGAAATTCCCAACGCAATTATCCTCGACCAGGCAAGTCAACAGTTTGTTTTCATCCGGACATGATTTTTCTAATTGGATTTAAGACTAAATTTTTGGTGGCCAAAGCACGCCCTAGTCTGTCAAAGTGCTGCTGCTCGCGTGTTTTTGTGCTGTACAAATCTACAGTTTATGTACTGCTGATCAGTACATCACAATGACCAGTGGTTGTGGAAGAAATTGTCCTGGGTGATTTTTTGATTGTCTTTCACTGTCTTAATCTGATTGATAGAATTAAGTTTTTACGCATGATATAAGTAAATAAAACAAAAGTTTTTACTCAGTGACCTAGCCCGTGATGGGCTTACTTGCATCCGTTGCTAAGTGCATGTCTTATTTATTACGTTCTACCGCAGTACAAAAATCCCGGCAACCCGAACGCTCATTACGACGGCACGGCAGAAGAAATCCTGCAGCAGATGGACGGCAAGATGGACATGATCGTGTGCTCGGCCGGCACCGGCGGCACCATCACGGGCATCGCTAAGAAAATCAAGGAGAAGGCGAGTCCCATTGACTCGTGTTCATGTATAACGTATTGCGGCGTAGCTTATGTTTATAATATACACGTATTGCGATGTGGCTCATGTTTATATTATACGTATTGCTACGTAATTCTTGTTTATACATTACGTATTGTGACGTAGTTCATGTTTATATATTACGTATTGCGATGTAGCTCATGTTTATATATTAAGTATTGCGACGTAGACTCGGTCATGTATGGTATAAGGTTCTTGATCAGGATGAGGGGGCCATAAAATATGTAGCTATGTGTGAACAAGATTGGGCTCACCCTTTCACGTTACGATGCTCTTGATATGTCGTCACTTAATATTATTAAATCATTTATATATTTTTTTCAAAACTCGCATTTCAATTGCTAGGTCATATTTCTAGTTGAAAACATATTCCATACCATCAAAGTAATCGCCGTTTAAATTTATTCATTATTGCAACATGGACCTGAAAGTAATTCAACGAAGTGTGTTGAATGATTTCCTCGACAAACAAGCTGCCGTACTGTAAATTATTATTATACTCGTAGCTGAAAATTTTCAACGAATTGTATTGAATGATTTCCTGTACCAACAAGCTGCCGGACTTTAAATTATTATTGTACTCGAAGCTGAAAGTTTTCAACGAGGTGTACTGAATAATTTCCGGTACAAACAAGCTGCCGGACTGTAAATTATTTTCGTACTCGAACCTGATTTTTTCACCAATTGTATTGAATAATTTCCTGCACAAACAAGCTGCCGGACCTCAAATTATTATTGTACACGAACCCGATTTTTTTACAATTGTATTGAATAATTTCCTGTACAAACAAGCTGCCGGACTGTAAATTATTATTGTACTCGCAGCTGAAAACTTTCAACGAATTGTATTGAATAATTTTAAACCAGCTGCCGGACTGTAAAGTGGTTGGCGTAGACCCCGAGGGCTCGATCCTGGCGCTGCCTGAGGAGATGAACGAGACGAACATCACGATGTACGAGGTCGAGGGCATCGGCTACGACTTCGTGCCTGACGTGCTCGGTTTGTTTTTCTTTTTCTGCTTTGAAATGTTCATTTTTTACCATGAAATAGCTATTTTCTGCCCTTTAAAACCTATTTTCTGCCCTTAAAAACCTATTTTCTGCCCTTAAAAACCTATTTTCTGCTATTAAAATTCTATTTTTGCACTCAAAAACCTATTTTTGCCGTGAAATACCTACATTTTGCAATATAATATGTATATTTTAACGCGCTTGGAATCCCTTATTATTTTGTCTTTTTATTCATATTATTTTGTCTTGAAGTACATATTCTTTGGCTAGAAATACCTTTTTTGTAATAGACGCTTCAACTTCATACTGTAACTTTTTGTTTTTTGAGCGCCCTTTGTTTCAATGTGTGAGTGATACGTATAAGCTGAAAAATATTTGCATTATATTTTATGGTGAAATTATCTGCTGGCAACAATCTTGATTCATCTTATGATAGAAAATTTCGTTTCTCTTCCTTATTTACTAAATTTCAAATCGAATAAAAGCGATGAGCTATTTCCTGTATTATATGATCATAATGAGACTAATGTAAAAACCAAAGTGTATAAATAAGGAAAAATTGTATGCAAGTGTTTACCCAGCAGACAAATAATGTTGCAACAACGTTTAGTTAGCGTTAATTCAAGTAAAAAACGTTTATTTCAACGTTAATTTAACGTCAAAAGCTTGGCTGGTAAAGAGCTTCTCGTTCCCTCAGACCGCGAGCACGTCGACATCTGGATGAAGAGTCGCGACAAAGAGTCCTTCGCAATGTCCCGGCGCATGATTAAGGAAGAGGGACTCCTTTGTGGTCAGTTGCTTGTGACGTCAATATGACGTTAACGTGACAGTGACGTGACGTCAATATGGCGTTAAGGCACTGATGATGGACTCGGTCTGTCATTGTAGCTTTCACCATGACAGACCATGTCTTTATTCCTCCATCATGACAGACTATGCCTTTCTTATTCCCTCGCAATTCAGACCATCTTGTGTTGATTCATTCACCATGACAGACGGAGACATACCACTACCGTACTTCTCCTCTCCACACAGGATTAGTGTGGAGAAGTGCTTTAACAACAAAGATGACCATTGAGTAGTTGTTTAGACTGACTTTCGCGCTAGTGTTTTGAATTTTTATAGATGAAAATGTTAATCTATTCTAAACAATCCTATTTTTGGACTTCATCTCATGTTTGACTATGTAATGATGTGATTTCTTATTGCGAACTTAGTCCTAGCTCCTTAAATTGTCATCACATCTCGATTTTAGTCTGCCATAGAATTAAATATCCTTTGTGCCTTTTATCATTATTTGAAATTTTTTAGCTTGAGCCCCTTATGGAAGGGGACATGGACAGAAGCCAAGGCATGAACATTGATGTAGTAGCTTTTTCCCCTCACTACGACATTAATCTATCTTTCTAGAATGATAGAAAAAATTTGCATGCGAATGATGACACAAACGATTTTTTATCTTACCACTGACATATTTTATTGTGAATTGACTCTTAATCCTCGTAAAAGCCTTACAGCGCGGTGGAATATTGCTCACTGTGCAAATCCAACATGTATCGAAAGGTGAATAACTTGTCAGCTGGTGTCAGTTATTGATTGGCCACACAAAGCGCAGGTTTATATCAGTTGTTAGAACTCCCACAACGCAGGTTTCTAAAAGTGTTTGGAACACTTAAACCCAAATTAAAAAAAATTGAAATAGTAAAAAGTATGCAATTCTATTAATTTAATGTACCAGGTGGCAGTTGCGGGGCGGCAATGCACGCTGCCATGATCGCAGCCAAGGAGCTTGACGCTGACCAGCGCGTAGTGGTGGTGCTGCCTGACTCTGTCCGTAACTACATGACTAAGTACCTCAGCGACGCCTGGATGATCGAGCGCGACTTCATGAAGGCCCCTGAGGAGGAGGAGAACAGCATGTGGTGCGTGAGCTGCCGGATCTAATTTTCTGGATGTTAGTTCTTCATGTAGGGGCCCTTGGGGGAAGAAAAAGAATGTCGTTCGTAGGGCACAATGTCTAATTTGACGGGTGTTAGTTCTTCATGTAGGGAACCAACCGTGGGGGGAGAGAAAAACATGTGGTGCGTGGGCCACAATGTCTAATTGCTGTTTTTCATATAGGAACCCGTTGAGGGGAGAACAGCATGTGGTGCGTGAGCTGCCGGATTTAATTCTCTAGGTGTTAGTTCTTCATGTAGGGAACCGTGGGGCAGAGAACAGCATGTGGTGAGTGGAGCTCAATGTCTAATTGTTTCTTCATGTCGGGACCCGTTGAGGGGAAAATAGCATGTGCACTGTTCAAAAAAAAAACGGCCAAGAATGCCAGCTCAAGATAAAACAGGCATTTTAGTGGTCGGCCGCCCAGTGAACTAAAACTATCTCGCAATTTTTTTGGGAAGTCAACATTATGAAAGCCTGGTATTTCATGGAGCGGTGGGCCTGTAAGACGACGATCAGACCGTTTTTCTCAATCTTGTTAGACAGTGAAGGTCGTGCGTCTCAATGTATCATTTCACGGCTGTCAGTTGTTCGAAAAGTCCCCAAAAGAGAAAAGCCGTTCCTACCTTTTACCTTGATTTTTGACCTTGTTGATTTGGTGTTTTCTTCGCTCTATATTTTCGGTGAACGATCCATGCAGACTAATGATATAGGTGTTGATTTTACATGAGCTTGTTCCGGGTTATAAGAGAGGAAGTTTCGTCCTGCAGGTGGAGCACCAAGAAGGTGTCGTGCCTGCCCCTGGCCGCGCCCCTGACGGTGATGCCGAACATCTCCTGCCAGGACGCCATCTCCATCATGCAGAAAGAAGGTTACGACCAGCTCCCCGTCGTCGACCATGAGAGGTCATGTCAAGCACAATTACGATACGAACTACAATTATAGTAAATTTTCAATAATTTCAAATTATGGATAGCATAAGATGTCACGACGGGAATATACTAAATACAATTATTACTAATAATCTAATTAATATGAAAGGACAACATTAGTGGTCAAGTCAACACTAACTACGGTTATTATTAATGATATCAATAGGTACTAAATGATCCCATGATAGGTCACTACAAATTCTAATTATATTATTTTCAATAGGATCAATCATGCAAATGGAATTAATGATTGGTCAGGTATCTTTCAAATTAGTGATTTCGTCCTTCAAATAGAATCTAGTGATATTATAAAATATTAATTCTAATTGTATGTATTATATGCAAACACCCGTGCAGCGTGATCCAAGGCGTGGTTACCCTCGGCTCGCTCATTTTCTAGATCGTGAACGGCAAAGTTAGTTACTTCGTCCTTCAAACAGAATATAGTGATATTATAAAATGTTAATTATAATTTAATGCATTATATGCAAACACCCGTGCAGCGTGATCCAAGGCGTGGTTACCCTGGGCTCGCTCATGTCCAAGATCGTGAACGGCAAAGTAGAGGCGGACAGCCCCGTTGCCCATAGCCTCTACTCTAACTTCAAGCGCATCACCCTGGACACAACGTTGGCCAAACTCTCCACCATCCTGCACAGAGATCACTTCGCTCTGGTCGTGCATACACAGAGACTTTGTGAGTGATAGATGCCGACTTATTTGGTAACTGATATTAATGTTTTCTAGTTTGGTACCGACTTACATCGAGATCACATATAAATATAATAAGTATAACGGTGGCTCGAAATAGCCTCGCCTAATACAACTTTAACTAATAAAACAAGGTCTCACAATGGGCACTATGAGCTCGTCTAATACTGAGTAACTTTAGAAGTGAAGCTTTCTTACCTCGAGAAATGAAGCCTAGCTGCGGATTGCATGTCACTTATGACAATAATGCGGGGAATGAAAAAATATTGAGAAATGCAGAATGGTTTCTTGTAAAAATAGGAAAAGTTTAGCCAGCAGCAATTTAACAAAATGATTATGATGAAGAAGCGCTATTCTATATGACCATTCTAAGGCAGACTTCAGCAGACTATCATTTCAATTTGTTGAATTTTCCCGCCTCCTCTCTTCTGAATTCATGGCTGCCTTTTGAATGCCTTTATTTTTAAAATAAATATGAGGTCGAGAAATTTATTTACACTCGCTGACAGTTGCCAATGATATAACTAATACATGTATATAAAATATTTGAACAGTTAACCTTGTAAATATTTAACGGTAACAGTTGCATATTAGTTGCACCGCTTTTAAGTTCTTGTTTAGATGCAAGTAACGTTTTTAAGTATGTAAATATCAGCCTATCCTTATGAAACCCAACGCAGGTTCGTTGAAAAAAAAATTTCAAGTTTCCAGGAATATTCCAAGGTGTAATTTTTCTTGTAATTTTTTCATCACCTTGCAATGGATTTTACAGGCACAAGAAATACAGGTAACTTCGGTTCACTCTTAATCGAATCCTTATTGTAAACTCCCGATATCTACAAATTTCCGTCATTATTGTAAACTATTCGTAATTTCCCCCAGTGATTGTATTCTTTTTCTCTATTGTGAGTGTGATCATGTGATGAGTTATTGACCTGTAGTATGATAATGTGATGAGTTATTGACCTGTAGTGTGATCATGTGATGAGTTATTGACCTGTAGTGTGATCATGTGATGACTCATAATTATTATCAATTATCGTTTGTTTGTTTTTATTTGTAATGCTTTTTTTTATTATTACTCCATGTAGGCAATAAAATCTAACGTTTCATTTTCATCCTAAAAAATCTTACCTAAAAATTGCGTTCAATCGTACATGACATATATTTCTGTAATCGATGCATAAAAACTTATATGTAAATATGGTAGTATAAATTTTAGGTTTAATTCAACAATTTTTAAAGATTCCTCATAATTTCATTTTTAATTACATTTCACATATTTGATAAACTATTCTAGCTAATTTAAAATGAGTAACTATGACTTTAATACCTTTCTGCTGTGTAGAACATTTACGTGTAAAGCGAGTTTTGGTCGAATGATAATGTCTTGTTCATTTTTATGATCTAAGCTGTAATAATTTCAGCAATAAAATTAGGTTTTCCTATCTTAAACTACTGTGAAAAAACTTGAGAATTTTAATTTTTTCTGCTATTTTTTAAGGTTTTACCACCTTGCAGATCTGGAAGGCTCTGTCCAGGAGAAGGAAGTCTGCATCGGCATCATCACGCAGATCGATCTCCTGACGTACATCACACGTAAGGATCATCATCGCAACTCACTGGACCCCATACCGCAGCTCACCGCAGGCATCGAAGAAGTGATGTAGTTCGTATTTCTCATCATAGGAAAATTACATGGAACAGGATTTCAGTGAGACGACTCTTATTTAATGAGCACAAACCAGTGCTGCGCGTTGAAATGTTGCAGCGTCCTCTTAAAATGTCGCGCTGCTTGTCATGTTATCATCTGGTTTGTTTAAATTTCATCAACTCTCCATCCTCTCTTATAATTTAACTCTCACCTTTGCAAACTCGAGACTCACGGTGAGTAAACGTGGATTCCTTTCAGTGATTTATCTGGTGTACACAATTTTAAGAAAGTGAAATTAATTTATTCGTAATTTTTAATATTTCTGAATCCGATCCTATTTTAATAAGAAATTATAATGGTAGTTAACTCTTTGAAACGTTCGTAGCATTCCGAGTGACTTTCATGTACTTTATATGTATCTTGTTGATGTGATTTTCTGGCACATCGTATTATTGCACGCAAGGAGTGCACACTACACATAATTGTCAGTGATCTGATGACGGTCATGTCCATTTGATGGCCATCTCATGGCGGTCATGTCCATTTGATGGCCATCTCATGGTGGTCATGTCCATTTGATGGCCATCTCATGGTGGTCATGTCTATTTGATGGCCATCTCATGGTGGTCATGTCCATTTGATGGCCCTCTCATGGCGGTCATGTCCATTTGATGGCCAACTTTAGCACTCAATTGATTATAGCAGAGCCTGATGGGGCGCACGTTTAGTTCCTGTCACTTGAACCATCGTCAGCTGTAGTTAACTAAAGGCCTGGCCCCTGGCAACACGAGTTATCATCAGTAGACCAAGGATTATAAAGGATCCAGCTTCATTGAGGTAAAAAATTCTAGAACTCGGCATCCTAGAATTTTAGGATGCATCCTAGACTCCGAAGCATTTTATGTAGGATTGTCTTTGATTTAAATTTAGTTGATTTGCGATTCAATCAGTCCAGTGCCAGTAATGCTTGGTCAAAGGACTCGAAGGATAATTCACACTCGCGGAGGCAGGCTAACCTCTGCAACATAGACGAGCACTACACAGGGCCCTTGTTTGCGGGTAGCCCAGTGGTCTAGACCAGGATCTTTAGTAGTGATGATTTGCAAAATTCTCTCTTAACATTAAGTCGTTAATTATTTATTTCAGAGTAACAAGAGTACTTAATTATATTTTTAGATTAGTAATTCGGAATAGAATCGTTCCCCTGATAGTTCCTTCATCTGAAATTTTAGCATAAAATGGCGAGAAGCAGCTGAGAGCTTTAGATTCAAATGGATCGGAAATAGAATATTTTATATTGCTGTCGTCATGGTCATGTCGCTATAAAGAATATGACTTCTGTATTGCATACTTAGTGTTAATTGCTTCCTAGCTCGTCCATATCGTCCGGCTGATGGTTGTGCCATGACATTGTTCTCTGTAAGATGGTTGTTGTTTTGCTACTCCGTTTGAAACCTTTTTTTTAATGCAAAATAAAATTCTGATTCAAGTGCTTAGTTTTCTGCTGCTAGAATATTTACAATTTTGACTATGAATGATGGAGGCTGAAACTCGTGCGTCCTAATGCCATACACCAATGTTCCGTCATACACCAATATTCGGTCTTCATTTTCTTTTGGGGAAAATAGCTTTACTTTCAATTTCATTGCGAAATTTTTTCAGCCAGAACGCAATTTTGAGTATCTAATCGCGGTACAATTATCCTCGTTTCCCTAGTGCCGTAATATGTGAAATGTGAAATATTTTAGCTTCAGTTTCAGCATCCATTTATCTCTGCGTATCTCATTCAATACTTCAGGCAGTCTTTCTCACGGCGAAAAGGATGAACTATGTGACATATAAATTAAACATCTCAGCACACAGTATTGGACTATTCAGAATCATTTTATTGTGACATGACATTTCAGGAGAATATTTTATACATTTAATTTTCTTTAAATGTACGCAGTTTATTCGAGTATCAAGTCTGCTGGTAACCACTTTGATCTTATTTCCATTTATGAACTCATAGATTAAACCTGGAAAAACGTTAACATGTGATGCCTGTTCGAATGTGGGCAAAGAAAGATGAAACCTTGGCGTCAAATTAGTCAAATTCAAAATAATCTTACGAACATGGCGGCATAGTGGACGTTTTAGAAACCGACATCAAATCTGCAAAGAGGATTACGACATCAAATCTGCAGAGGATTACACAAACTGTCGCCAAAAGTATTGAGTTGGTCACCGTCAACTGCTGCCAGAATTAGTCACGCTGCCAACTGCTGCCTAAGTTGAGCACAACTATTACTGCTTTGCGAAAAAAAAAAAATGCGAAAGCTACTGAAAAGACACGCTTCAAACTACAGAACTCGTCATTGCGAAAAATTTCGAATGATTCATTTCCATTAATGCCACGTATCTGAACACAAAAAGGTTGCTGAAGACGCATTATCATGCAACATTTGTAAAAAAACTGGTATAAAGCTTTCGAAATGTAGAACAAAATATTAATATTACATTGCACACGTAGGAGATCAGGGTATGAAAACGTATTAGTATAAATAAATAACAGTTAAAGGACACACACTGAACTCGCAACGTAAATATCCTAATGATTGTGCCGGCGAAACAAAGCTTTACTTCACGGTCTACAAATAATAACTTCGGCCGTGACATTGTTGCACGAGATGCTGCGTTATTTTCCAGCAGAATAAATGCTCATCGACTATATTGAGGCTGGACATCAAAGCACTCGAGGAGCGAAACATCAACGCTTAGTAATAATCACAAGACAAGATGATGGCCGTTAGCAATGCAAGAAATGCAATGCGTCGCCATTCAACAATATGTGACAAATTCAAATGTCTTTGAAGTTTCCAAACAATGTCCTGACTTCTATTAACAAATACTTGCCCAGACTAACAATAATCAATTCAGCGAACTTGACGTCAGCAGTTCAAGGTTTAGGACCTTCAATTTAACCCTCACTTAAATCCCAACATCACTGGCGCAGGTTTGCCCGAGCTTTGCTAACATCATGAGAAAAATATTAATCACAGTGCACTAACCTGCTCGAAAATATATTTTCTAAGATCAGCTTGTCAAGTTCATTACAAGGTCTCCATAATCTTGAGTTCTAAGTTAAACTGCACTGTCTAGCTGCAATGGAAGACTTCTGCTAACACAGTCAACGCAGCACAAAAAATTGCTTGCACATGCACGAGTATTGAGGCGAAAATACATGAATCATCGTTACCACAACAAATACTAGTGAGCCACTATCACTATCTTTTACATTCACCGCCGCAACTAAATCTTTACTGCTGGGTTCGATTTTCAATAATTAATAATAATCTTAAATAATCTTAATAAAAAGTGTTTCGCTGAACAATACTGCAGCTGACTAGACTGAAGGCTGAGCTAGAGGCTGGGCAATTGTGAATAATTGAATTTACACCGTAATCGACACGAGCTAGCACAGCACGTGAAAGCCCATATTAATTGTCTACCACATCACAACACCGATTGTATATATTTAAATGACATGTTCGAACCAAAGACATGTGCCGATGAAAGCAGAAATATTATCGTTAACCAGAGCAACAAGGAGAAATTCGAACACTTGCAGCGAGATCGCTGAGGATGACAGTAAATCTTTCACCAGAGGAGCAACGCATCTTCATTTGGTGAAGTTTGATACGCTCGTCTCCATTGAGAACTGAAAGCAATAAACATACGAACTAATCCAGCAGATTTCCTGAGTACAGTATAACCTTCTGCCCCCAATTTAATAGCTCGTATAAATCGAAGTAATTAATTGTTCTTTTTCTTGATTGTGGTCGTTGACTGAGGCAAGAGGCGCGTTAGGATGTAGGGGACCGTGGTGATGATGGTGTAGGGCAGCGCCGCGTGCACACCGAGGCCGAGCGTCAGGTACTGCGACATCTCGCGAGTGGGCAGTCCAGCCTGTCATAATAAAATGCCTTACTTGCTTACTGAGATACAATGACAATTAGGAAGAATCAAGATACTTGTTAACAAGCATAGTAAATAAATATAACCTTTATAAGTCAACATCTTTAGGATTATGCAGCAAGTAAAATGATACCATATGAATCTATCGGAAGAAATTAGGCTAGAGAGAATAATATTAGAAAAGGCAAATATAAGTGAGGCTTAAAATTAGCAGTCGACATTAAAGGGACTAACTTCAAAAAGGAATTTGAACTACATTATGAAATTTGTGATGGAATGAAAAAAATTTGTAAACGGTCAAGATTTTTTTATAAATTTAAAGTCAGGCACAGACCAAATACCTACGAAAGGAACATGAAAGACGATTAACACAAATGCAGGCAACACTTCAGACCAGCAGGATGGCGGCAATAAGTATAAATAAAAGNGGCCTTGCAGGCCAGCAGCGTGCGCAGCAAGTGGCCAGGAGCGAGCACCGCCTGCTGGCCCAACTGAGAAGACATGCCCAGTCCTGCTCAGACAAAATATTTATCTTCAATGGCTATCTAATGAAAAATATTACTTTTTTATTATATCAATGCAGAGTACGTCTATAACTATCATAGTAAATTTTGCACAGATTACATCAAAAGTAGTCTGGACATATAAATCATATAAAAACATAAGATATTGTTCCAGCTTTAAAATACAAAATAAAAATTTGTTTAATTAATTTTGCAATAGTTTGAAAAGTATTGACATCTCATTCATATATTACTTTCGATTCCGCGTAAATTATTTTTGTTTTAAATTAAATAAGTTTTGTTTATAATCTAGCTATTGTGGGGACATTTCCGTTGTACCAGACAACTGAAAACCGCACGTGGGTCAGAAGTCACCGACAGGCTTCATAGATAATCTCTCAATCACGAATCGCCTAAAAATTGATCAATCAGTTATGGTAATGACGGCGGCAAATTGTGCCAAACTGGTTATCTGGTGAACAACATTAATCATTAGTCTGCAGAAATTGCAGGAACAAGAATTTAAAATTGGTAAAGAAGAATTAAAAAAGAATTAATTAAAAATTGTTCAACAAAAATTTAAATTGAAGGTAACAAACGATACAATGCCTTCATGAAGAACGAGTTGGAGACTAGCTTCATCTATCTCTAAATTTTTGAACTGATGATGAATGGATTTGGTGCCCCAACACGTTTTTGATGGAGTGAATTTGCTTGAATTGACACGTGAATTTACTCGAAGTTTTTTATATAAAATTATTGGTTGCTCGACCGAGTCACTGACCCAGACCCAGGGCAGATCCCGTGAACCTGGCCATGATGAAGAAGGGTTGAGCGTCAACCCTCACGTGGACGGGATCATAGCAATGCTTCAGAGCTTTGGCCACCGACCACATCGGGTCATAGCCTAACTTCACCAGACTCATCCATACTGTACCTAGAGAAATGTTGCGGAAAAAAATTAGTGGACTAATAAATTTTACTCTTCATACTCTTCATTTTACTCTAATAAATCTAACTTATTGCAATGAACTGTTTATTTGTTTCACTCATACAATTATAAATGGGTGATTACATCATCGCGACAGAAATTACGCACAAAAACGTTGTTTCTACTATTAATATGTGCAGGAATACACAAAGAGTGATTCAACTTGCCTGTGGAAATGAAGAAAAAGAAGGCAAGGAGAATGCTTCTCAACAAACCGAGATTGTTCAACGAATCACACCTCCAGCAAAATTCTCCAACAACCATGCCTGAGATAAAGAAAGGGTTACTTTTTATTCTACATACATGAGGTAGCAAATGACCAGGAGTCAATTACATTGAATGATCAATACTAATTTGCTTCCAATTGTGGACGCCAAACAAACCAGACGCCACGATAACTGCTTCATAGAATATAATAATAGCGGCTAAGGAATTTCACTCAAGAAAGAATATAGAAAATCAACCAATGACTTTCATTATGTAAATTGCAAACACACTAAAAAATTCTCCAAACTTTTGGTATGTTTGACTAAATTAAGTCAAACATACTAAAAACTTCAATGATTTCACACGTCTTCCTTTTAGAAATTCGTAAATTTTAAAATTATTCAAAATTTTATTCGCTGATTTACTAAATTCTTCAATTTCAATAGATACAGAAGTTATTTCCTATCCATACTTGACTATTCCTACATAAATATCGTGAGTAATTATGCTTAGGGGTGAAAATACAAATAAAATTGATGATGGTTAATTACCAAAATATTATGACACCAAAAAAATTATCGAAATACACTCACCAGCAAGGACGCCAAGGACACACTGGTGGATGAAGTGAGCCTGGATGTAGAGACGTGACAAAAAGACTAGAGCTATCCAGGTTGAGTATGTGGAGAACAGACCAGTAGCCAACGAGCGTTGCATCTTTCGGCTGCCAAAGTGAAAAAGACATTTTGATTGTTACACGAAAATAGAAAATCATCCTGGCCTGATCCCATCAGATCAAGATAAAATGAATAGAAAAAGCTGTATCTTGTCAAATTGTAGGTTCTAGTAAATGATGTCAATCAGTGTGGAATTTAAAAATAATGCATAAAGTTTCTGGCATTTTTGGGTGGTTGCATGTCCATCTCCAGACTGAAATTAGTTGTTATATCTTCCACACCACACTATGATTGGTTGGTGGTCCACTCTAAACTGTGATTGGTTTGTAGGATTGAGATGTCATCAATTCCAGGCCATGAGAAAAGGCAGGTTGAGGGATTGTGATGTCTACCTCTCCAGGCTGTGATTGGTTGCGTGATGGCCTTTCCAAAATGCTATGTGTGCTGGTTAATTTAATACACCTCCAGAATACAACACTGTTAAGAATTACCAAGTAGCAATAACTAATGACCGTGTAGTTGCCCAAACATAGGACCACACAAGGTAAAATGGAAAGATTTTTGACAAGCAAAAAAATTATTCATATCCAAATTAGTAAACTGAGGTTCACAGGTAAAGTATTAATGACAATTAACTACAACTTCAAACAAAAATTAGTCAATGTTATGCTTACCATGACAATATAACAAAATGTCATTTCAGCAGAGATAGAACATAGAGTACTGATGATCATTCATCAAGTGCGTAGTCAAAAAAATGTACATAAAAATGCAGAATAAAATAATTTACTCATGGAAGCACACCTTAGAAACCTATTGTCCCAAATGAAGAGCTGGCAGATGCTTCTTGTAAAGATGTAGAATATGGCTACATTCATCATGAGATGACCAGAAGGAGTCCCAGGACCACTTTCGCAGGTGTTATGGAACTGGCGCAAAACTGGACGAGTTTCGTTATTGAAGAAAGGTGTTTCTTGCACGTACCAAAATGGGCGATCACCACGAAAAACCCTGCAAAGCATTCAGAATTAGGTTCAAATGCTTGTAATTAGGCGATCACTACGGAAAACCCTGCAAAGCATTCAGGATTAGGTTCAAATGCTTGTAATAACATACACTCAGCATAAAGACTTAAAATCATATTTCACTCAATGAACTCAGGCATAAAAAAACTGATCATGAACATAGAAATGTAGAATTTAGGACAAAAATTAGGAAAAATTAAATTTTCATTCATAAAAAAAAAACAAGAAACTGCACCAGAAATATTCCTTTTATTTCCTGCTTTGCCATCTGTGTACTACTTCACATTAACTACCTATATACATATCATTCATCTAAATAAAGCTCCTGCTTCTCATCAAATTCAGGTACTATGACCAAATAGATCATACCACCAATTTAAAATTACATATCTAAATTAAAAAAAAAATACCTACCCAATTTAAAATTCCAGACTTGCCCTATCATAGGAAATTATTAACTACTCACCATTTCATTATGACGTTGGACCACTCCACCAAGATAGCTGCCCATAGCAACTTGGCACCACATAAGATGCTCAGGCCAGACAACATGGGGAAAAAGAAGACAAATGCTTCTCTGTTGTCACCAACAACACTCACACGAACAATCCATGACTCCCATGATGACAGCCTGGAACATGAATAAACTTTAAAAATCAAATAACCTATATCATAGTACTGTAATGCTTAATGATATATGCTTGCATACTGCATAGTATTGATCTCTTGGGTCTAACAAGGCTGTAACCTCAGCTGTAATGTATTTTTTGAAACCATAACCTGATGTTATTCATTGCACAATTCATTTCAGTTGAACTAAATTCAAGATTTATATCTTTCCAGGTCTCATAAAATATGTATGGTGTAATTTGTTTTTATACTCTTCCTCATAGTTTCTTCACTCAACCTGGGGACCACACATTTTTTAATATCATTACCTTTATTGAGAATTTGAATTATTATTTGAATCTTCATATTGTTATTTGTGTGTTCTACTCATGATTCATAACCAAATTCTTATTGCAAATGAATTCAATTTAGCTCTCATATTGCTTCTCAAGTATAATTGTTGAATTTAAAGAAGCTAATTCATCATTTGCTTTACCGTACTACTAAATTTCTAACTTGTTTCAGCAAGATTACTACCTAAGCTAAAATTCTGCTTTCATTATATTTCTTTGATTAGTCTGTGTCCATGTCACTTTTGTTCATTCAAAACTTGTTGAAAGTTGAGTTACAGCATGAACATACAGCTGATATTAGTTCTCAGTGTTCAATAGTTCTTGCTGATCTGTAAGATTTTAGACTGTTAAGACTGTTTTCGAACAGTTATATTATCACCTCCACTATATAAATGCATTATCATCTCCATTATATTCAATAGCAAAATTATGTTGATGATATCTAATTTATCAAGTATGAATTTCTTCACTAAAGACAAATTGTTGCTAGACTATTACATATTTGACTACAACTAACAATAGAAAGTTGAAATTTAAATGTGCTGGCCCTCTAACACCAAGCAGTAGAAGGGAACTATAAGGAAAGGTAATCAGGGCAGACTGTCAACCTCCATGCAAGGTGGTGTAGAGAAGGACGTCCTCTCTACCCCCTGTGGGGTAGACAAGGGCTGCCTCTTAAGGGCAGCAGAATTATGAGCTTCAAGGACGATATCAAATGACTGGCACAAAATGTTCAACATTCTCAGCACCAGTGTCCAAAGAAAATGTGAAAACTCTGATTGAGCAATGATGAAAAAAATTATTGACAATAAATACTTACAAAATGGATATTGATTTAGAATGTATTTAGAACCAATCAGTAGAGAATAAATAATACTGCTTATTACCCTTTCAAAATTTTTGTGTCACCAGTGTGATGAACACTGAAGTAAAACATTTACCCTTATAACTGATGTTATGCAAAGTCAACATATTTTTTGTTCCTGTCAGATTTTAAATAAATAGCTGGATAAGCATGGAAAAATTCAAATCGTCATCTCATTTACAAGTGGAGTAAAGTTCATTTACAAGTGGAGAGTTCACAGGAAGCTTGTCTGAGGCCTTGTGGTTTTCAATACCAGCCTTAACTCTATGCCCAGAGGGCATAGGAGGTATAATTTATATGAAGGCAACAAGAGGATTAAAATTAATTCAAGAATGCAGTGCAGACATAGGTATACATATCTGCATATAGTTTAAGCAGTAGGAGATCTCAACTTTTCTGTTAGTAAAATAGCAATGATTTAACTGATGTTACTTACTTCTCCTGAAGTGTCTCAATTGTTTTCAGGCTGTGAATATTGAGGCTATCAGACCAATCCATGACTTGAGTTTCAGATTTTTCTGGGTTCTAAACAATTTATTTTGAATATAGAGCCTGAACTGTGGAAATTTTTCAAACAAATATGATGTAATAAATAATGAAGAATAGACTATATGTATATTGGATCTGAAACATTCAGTTCAAGATATTGGGTTAAGGATACAAATAAAGATTAGTTGCAAAAAAATATTTGTAATTGGATTGATGATGTAGATGAAAATATTGACATTTGTATTATATAATATATATATACTGGTACCTATATACATATAAACGGTAGCCAAACTTGTTGCACACGAGAAAGCATACCATCAACCGGGGCTACTCGGGACAAGCGGGGCTACTCGTAACAGGCCTCCGACACGTCGTAAAACAGTTGTAGTAGCGAAACTAATTGGAATATCGCAAAACTAAAAATAGTGGCGTAAAGTAAACGTCAACATTTTTCCTATCTATGCAGTATAAAGGAAGTTGAAAAATACTACATTTACTTGCTTTGAAAAATTCCTGAAAAAAATGGTGAAAAACTATATTTTGTAAAGTTACAACTGCTAAGGTATGTAGAAAAAAAAAATATTCGCCATATTAAAAAATTTTACTTACATAAAAGTTGCACCCAGGTGTTGGCTTGAAAACGTAATTGACAGAATTTGCCTATCTCATTCCAAAAAGAAATGGCAGCCATTTCCGCACGGCGGGGCTACTCGGCGGGGCTACTCGGGACACCCCCCGGGGCTATTCGGGACACCCCCAAAAACGCATTTACGGTAGAACCTCAGTTAGCAAAGGCTCCAGTTAAGAAAAAATTGATTAAAAACAAAGAATATTGATTACATTTACCTAGCTGAGCGAAAAAAAAATTCACTTATCATCACACAAATTTCAAGCCGTCCTGTATGCTTAAAGATACAGAAAAAAATGCTATAAGGCTGAGATATGAAGCTTGCAGTGAACAAGGTTGTTGTAAATGCTCAATGGCATGTTCATGGATATGGTAATATCACATCAATAATACAGTAATATCCCATCAATAATAGGGTACCGTCAACTGGGTGATTCGGCCCCATTCAAAATGATGGCCAAATCAAGGTCATATACCTTCATAAACAATGGCCAAAGTCACTCTGGCGTTTATGACCTGGTTTACAACCCTGGCGTTTATGACCCCGGCGTTTACGACCCCAGCATGAATGACAGTAATTAATGTTTATGGTACAGAATGTTTATGGTAACAGAATGACAGTAATTAATGTTTATGGTAATATCATATCAATAAAGGAAAAACAAGTAAAAATCACAGAAAATGTCATTTATTCTATCTCTACATCGTCTACAATGAAAGAGGAGGACTTCAGAGTACTGTTAGTAATGGATGAGTACGCTTTGCATGCTTCACATGTTTTGAAATGAAGTTTTATTCCCATTGTCCGGAGTAGCCCCGACCGACGGAGCTAGTCTGGACAATCTTTATTTTGCGTCTGGCACCTTAGGAATAGCATATGAAATTTTTTTGACAATGCCATTCGATAGCCCTGGCAAAGAGCTATAAAATGAGCCTAAATTTGTTTATGAAATGTTTCATCGTAAGAAGTTATTAACAGTTATTAACAAAAAAACGATCAAATCTGTCCCGAGTAGCCCCGGTTGACGGTATCTTCTGTACAGTTCTGTTACTGGGAGCACCGCAGCGGTGATACAGTTCTTCAGAGTAACCAGTCATTTTTGATACTTTCCAAATTTTCCAACCGGAGCTTGAGAGTGTCATGGTCAGTGAGTGAGTGAGTCCATAGCAGCAAAGCATCACGTTTTTATACTCTTCCTCAAGTTGATTTCTAAGTCTTATAAGTAGACCAGCAAAGTATCATTGATTTGATACCACCATTAGCATGCATAAGAAATTGGCTTAAATTTCGAGTAGATGAGGAAATTAAACATGAACCGATTCTAAAAAATCTATGGTTTACCACTAAATTAAATGTCTGTCAAAGCTTCACAAGTTGTCATATTCATTAAACTTGGGTGATTTTCCAGAACAGCTGACTGATGATCCGCAAAATCAAGAAATATATTCCTAATCTGATATAATCTTAAAAATATATTCCTAATCATGATACTAATAGTTCAGTACATTCATCACAGTCATTACTTTTGCAATATATGAACGCCATGCAGCAAAATGCTATCATCTACACTCTACAGTAACAGTATGAGTACACTCAGTACAGTATATGATTTGCATGGTGTACATACGATCCCATGCAAAAAAAAAATTAAAAATGAAGATGTACAATTATCTGCACCAAGTAAATTTCAACCAACAGATGTGAGGTAGTTGACTTTTTGCTTACACATATCCTTTACAGTGAGTTTACACTAAGAGTAAGTTGGAATGTGAACAACATAAGCAATTCATGATGATAAGGCTCACAAGGAATAGTCATGGCTAAATGGAATTTTGAAGTGCATCACTGTGCATGTTGGAAGCTAACAATGTCAAACTTCACAATTAATTCATAATCCATTCATTTCCATGATTTAATTAATCTACTTGAGGTCATAAAAGTTTATGCATTAATTTCTAATTCCTACAGTGTTTCACAATTTTGCCACCAGTGATTGTACATGTCCCCAATTCTCAGAAATAAACCTCACCAGACTAGTTCTGAAATACAAGAAGAAGAGGTTCTCAAGCCACCAAGCACCTTATCCCTGTAAATCCAAACAAGTCATGTGGACCAGACAGCTTCCACCCCAGATTACTCAAAGAGTTAGAAACTGTCCTAGCCAGCCCTTTGAAGTCATTTTTTCAAAAAACTTTAAATGAAGGGATCTTGCCAGCTGACTGGAAAGAAGCTCAAGTGGCACCATTATTCAAAAAATGTGACAAAAGCTGCCCAGGCAACTATCGCCCTGTCAAGTGTCATTTGCAAGGTAATGGAAAATGTTGTGAGGGATTGATTGATAGATCATTTGACTGCTAATAATCTCCCATCAGACTGTCAACATGGCTTTATTGCCGGGAGATCCTGCACCACTAGCTAGCTAACCTCTTGTCTACTCTAAACAAATGAACCTGCCTGGTGGACAAAAAGGAGCCAGTAGATGCAGTGTACCTCAATTTTGCCAAGGCATTTGACAGTGTCCCACATGAGTGGCAATTGCAGAAATTGCAGTCTTTGGGAATTTACAGCAATGTACTCAAATGGATCAGAGATTTTCTAGTAGGGAGACAACAACATGTCAGTATTAATGGGTCCGTATCAGAAAGGTCTTCAGTGTGCAGCGCCATGCCACAAGGAAGCTTTCTCGGGCCTGTTTTATTCGTTGCGTTTGTAAACGATCTGCTAGAAGCTGTGTGTCTAGCGTGTGCTCTTCTTCTTCTTTTCAAGGTGTCCACGTTGGGTGGACTGAAAGCCACAGGACAACCACAAGGATGACCGTTCGGCCTGAGAGCTTATGTTATGTTGGACAGCCATGATGTTTGGTATCCAAGGAATTTCGGCTCATTTTTCTTTAACCAGGTTTCACACATACATACTGTGTCTGGTTTTCTGGTGTACATGTTGATTTTTAGTTCAGAAACCTTGCCCCTGAGACCATTGAAGTTTAATCAAAAAATTTCTAGTTGGGATTCTAGTACACTGGGTCACTGAATCAAATTTAGATTTGAGTAAGACTTTTAAATTTTCTTCTTTTTTGAGGTTCTTGTAGTCTTATTTTGTCTCTTTGGAAGAGGTTGCAGTTGTTCTGAGTTGCTGGGTTCACTTATTTGATGGTTCAATTTTGGGTTGCTATTGTTTTTCTTGCCCCCTTCTATGCAAATGTTTGAGGGGCCAGAACTGGTAGGCAAACAAACAGCTGATGGGGTTGCCTCAATTGTAGTTGGTTCTGCAGCAATGGTGGACTCAGCATGAAGTTCCCCCAGCAGAGCTTCTGCCACCTCATTGCCAAAGTGTTTCCTGGTCGCACTGATGGNTGGCAACATTTTGTGACGTTTCATTGTTGCTGATGCGTAGTGAAGTGTTTTGAGAGTCATGTGAAGGCAACAGAACTTACATAACGCATACGGTTTTTTTTATAGTTTTTCATTTCTCGATGCGTCCTTAATGTGTCGGAATATACCGCGTTTACCCTATATAGTAAGGTTTTTATTGCCTCTTCTTCATTGGGATTGAATTCCATGGCCACAATGTTATGCCTCTTGTTGATCCGCACATCTTTGACAGAAGAATCTTGAATTATTTTATTCAATTCTTTAGCAACCATGACTGGGTTTAGGGAAATTTTACTTGCATATAAAGATGTTTGCTTGACTGAGAAGTTAAATTTGAGGGAAAGGCTTTCAGGTGCTTATTATTTGAGAATGGTCCAACTGGTTTTGGACTGATTCCTGTTAAGGGGCTGAATGAATTCATTGAGTTGTCTAGTTCTTCTGATTCTGTGCTCTTCTGTTGTTTGTGTCCACTCAAGTTTCGGGGTTTTGTCACCTGATGTCAGTGATGTGTTTCTGTGCCAGCTCTAGCAGAAATGTTGTAACCATTACATCCATTTGAAGACCGTTCATTCATTTCCATGTCATCTAGCAAGCAACAAGCCAGGTGGCAGGATCACATGAGAACTTGAGGTACCTTGTGTTGGCGTTTCTGGCTCTGGGATTATGTCCTCTTCATCATCATGATCATCAGGCATGTCGGGATCAGATCCCAGCATGGTGCTGGTATTATGGTATCAGGTATCTTGACGCAGATGAAATTTTTTCAGATAAACACAGAAGAAACAACAATGGTCATCCAATACTTAGGTCAGATAGTCATGGATTTATTACATCAAAACAATAATATTAATAATCAAGTTGAATATGTAGCATACACTGGACTATAAATCACAATAGAGGTACACAAAATTCTAGTACAGTTGCGAGTTGATGAATGATGAATAGCCTACTGTGATTATACAGATACAATTCATACCATACCATCAATCAATGGAGTACAAAAACAATACAATTAATACAACACACAAAAATACAATAATGATTGATTCAATAATAATGACAAAACAGAGCCAGTTTTTGCTACCTGTTGATCTAATTTCTAGCTGGCTCGCCAACCTACTCAGTCCTACCTAACCTACTGGCAAGTGGCACTGCCTCTTCCCGTGACGAGAAGAGGAGGGGGGAGCGAGAAGGGGCGAGTGAGCCAGCCGGGTTCTTGAAATTGAACACATAGCTAATATACTCGTGGTACAAAGAAAATTGCAATACCAAAATCAAGTTAGTGAATGAATAACTGTAATAGTTTACAATATTATGTTTAAGCGCGAAAGAAATCATTCCGTTGATCACGATTCAGCCGATTCACAGAGCACAATCTAAAGATGCTTGCTGTATGAACGCCGCGGACTCTCACTAGCATCTGCTCAATGTATGTTGATGACACAAAAATTTATAATACAGTGAAGTACAGTTGCTAGGCATTTTAAGACTGATGTTGAAGGTCCCAGAAGGATTACTAGAGTAGAATTTGAAACAAGATAGCTACAACACCAGGTGCCACAACTATAAACTAAAAAAACTTTGTAGTAACACATCCATATGACATTTCTTCTCGCTTCGAGTCACCGACATGTTTTGGAACAGCCTCCCAGGTTCCCTGATTATGATAGCATCACTGACGCTCCGAGTATGACCGAGTATGAATGCCTTCAAGAACAGATACCTAGACGAAGCTATGCAAGAGCATATGTTCAGTCTTAAAATGTCTAGCACATTACCGTTATTACGGACCAGGCAATAAGTGCAGCAGCAATCTCAATCAATCATTAGTTATCTTCTTCTTCTTTTCTGGGTGTCCACGCTAGGGTGGACTTAAAGCCACAGGACAACCGCAAGGATGACCGTGGGGCCTGAGAGCTTCTGCAGAATCATTAGTTATGGAACGATCAGGTTCCAAAGGCATGATGATGGATCCCTTGTGAATAAAGTCACGAAAAATTCAAGAATCGGCAACAGGCCATGGCCCTATTTCTTCAGTGCGGACACTTCTATTCTATTCTAAACCTATGGTCTTTGACTGCGGGAAGAAGAAGACAGGGAAACATCAAAATAAACAAATTTTGGTATGGAGGCGGCCATGGATTAAACTGGGATCGACCGGAGGAGTAGAATATGTTAAAATAATTTCATCAGGCGCTGGAAGCTGGACAATGATATTGCATAAATTTTGAAAAGAAGGTTTCATTCTCCGTAGAATTCTTTCGGTGTTCCAACGTTGAAACACCTAGGTGTTTCAAAATCGCAAATTTTGAAACACCTGAACGTTTTTGAAACACACGGGTGTTTTGCTTTGGGCACGATTGCTCGGGGAGGATTTGAAACACCCAAGTGTTTCAAAACAGGGGGCCTTTTCCTCTCAGTGTATGCGCGTCAAGCTCGAGAGGTTTTGAAACACCCAAGTGTTTCAAAACGGGGGGCCTTTCTCTCTCAGTGAATGCGGCATGATTGACAGGGATGCACGCAATTTACGATCGATATGGCCGATGCCCAATGATCGATTCCAATGTTCACGCTTTAGGAACGATGCGGCATGATTGACATGGATGCACGCATTTTACGATTGATGTGGCCGACGCACTCGCTTCGCGAACGATGCAGCATAATTGACATGGATGCACGCATTTTACGATCTATATGGCTGATGCCCATGATCGATTCCGACGTTCACGATTCGCAAACGATGCGGCATGATTGACACGAATTCACGCATTTTTTATCGATGTGGCCGATGCCAAATGATCGATTCCAACGCTCACGCTTTGCGAAAGATGCGGCATGATAGACACAAATGCACGCATTTTACGATTGATATGGCTGACGCTCTCGCTTTGCGAACGATGCAGCATGATTGACATGAATGCACGCATTTTACGATCGATGTGGCTGATGCCTAATGATTGACATGGATGCACGCATTTTATGATCGATGTGGCCGATGCCCAATGATCAATTCTGATGCTCGCGTTTCGCAAACGATGCGGCATGATTGACATGGATGCACGCANTGGACCAAGCTGAGTCATTTGCAAAAGAAAGGCAATATCTTCTTCACTGTCGTCCAATAGCTGGACAGCAATCAATCCTTTTCTGCGGTTCACTCGTACATCTTCTACACGCATGGTTGAAAATGGTGGTGCTTCCATTACTGAGCAGAGCTGCTCTGGTGAGTTCAACATGCGTTTAGAGCTATCGTCTGCTGGGCGGATGAGGACCACCCGGGAATCTTGTCGCTCGGTTGTGGTGGGCAATTGTAGCTCAACAACACTGGTATTCCTCTGTGTTGACTTCTCTATGGGAACAAAGATTGATCCAGTATTGGGCCGCTTCTTTGTCTCACCCAACATGTCTTCAATGGCTGCAGGTGAACTCTTGCGCTTCCGACGTGCCGCTCCCGTACCGCATTCCGACGAGTCGCCATCTTGGGATGAAGAAGGAGCAGCATCTTTCAAGCCGACAATTTCACTATCACAGAAATGTCTGATTTGAGAATCAGTCATTGTCAGTTCTAACCCTGATGCATTTGGTGAAGCACCAGGGTCAATGAGATCTTGCCCCTCAGGTGAACTGATCATTGAGGGATTGTTCAGCACTTTCACAAATCACAAGGAAACAGAGAGGTTTGCACGAACGTCCTCTTTCGACAACGGTTCAACTTTTCAAGCTTCTCTCTCCAATCTGAAGATGCTTGCCCTATGAACGCCACAGACTCTCTCTAGCTGGCAATTGGCAATGGCATGGCCGCATCACGCATGTGCTCAACGTATGTTGATGACACAAAAATTTATAATACAGTGAAGTCCAGTTGCTAGGCATTTTAAGACTGATGTTGAAGGTCCCAGAAGGATTACTAGAATTTGAAACAAGATAGCTTCAACACCAGGGGCCGCAACTATAAACTAAAAAAAACTTCGTAGTAACACATCCATATGACAACATTTCTTCTCGCTTCGGGTCACCGACATGTTTTGGAACAGCCTACCTGATAGCATCGCTGACTCTCCGAGTATGAACGCCTTCAAGAACAGATACCTAGACGAAGCTATGCAAGAGCAAATGTTCAGTCTTAACACGTTGACTACGTATTGGTACATATGCGTACCACGAAATGTATTTCTCCTGGTACATAATTCAGGGTTGCCAGATGGCCTAAAAAACATGGAAGTCTAGTAGCTTCTTCAAACTATCGCCAGTCATGAAAAGATCCGGTCAAATGACAATGAGTTTAGATCTATGAACAAGGTACGAAATAGAAAAGAATCGGCGACAGGCCACATCAGCCATCAGGCCTACACTTCAGAGCCGACATCACTATGTTATGTAATCCCAAATCTGCTCTGCTGGTCACGAAGCAAAAAAAATCGACTCGTATGGTAGGAAATTTAATTTTTTGCATCTTCCTATGGATTTCAATATTTATACAACCAGTGGTTAAAGTTCCAGAGTACCAAGATTGGCGCAGAGAGGCGTGGGTTAGATCCCAGCTCTGTGCGCCAGTTTCTGGTCAGAATCGGCAAAGAGGCCGGGCGGTTAAGCATAGCAGAATTGTAGCAGTGAGTTGAGAGTTCGAGACCGCAAAATGTTGCGAATGTTCTGCGATGTTAAGAATCGGCGACAGGCCTACGGCCTAATAACGCTGAAACCGCTATATTATATTATTATATTATATTATTATTACGATACTATTTACTTGCTATGTCTTGATTTGCAAAGCGAAATTTTTGAACGAAGTTGAAAGTGACATAGTCACAATTGGTCAGTGGTCACTTAGCCCGTCAGAATGTAAAGCGGACTCAGCAAGATCAAAGAAATGGGTAGATTTATGTTAAATTTACATTTAATGACTTTGTTGCATTTTTTATAACGGCAAAAGAATTTATTCTTATAAATTACCGAAAATCGAACACCAAAATCCAAGACGTACAATGGAGAAAAAAGATTAAATATTATTAATAAATGAGGCTGTACTCGGACCTAGGATTCATTTGTACATGTTAGCAATTAGAATTTCGTGATTTTCTTTTTCAAATTTAGAGCAAGAGCAACACAATCTTTTATCAATCGTTTCCTATTACTTAATTCTCTATTACATCGAGTCGTGATCGCTTCATCGTAGCAGCATGAAACCTATGAGAAATACAACCGTGAAGTCCGTGATATACTACTATTTGAATGTGTACGTTTCAGAACCATAGTCGTACGATTTGGAACTAAAGTTCATGCGACAATTCATTGGAAATAAAACCAAGCCTAAGCAATATAATAAGACTATGCAAAAAAAAAAAAAAAAACTTGAAAACAGTTTACATGAATTTATCAACAAAAATTACTAAATATCCCAGGTCTGCTCTGGCTATAAATGAAGCAAAAATCATACTCCTATTTTTCATGAGTTAATTTTGGTACCTATTGCTCTTCGGTTGGTTAATACAAAGCGCATTTTTAAATTACCGTTTTGACATAAAAAAACAAGTAATATAAGTAACAGCATCCGCAGTGCTGCGGTGACGTAATTTACAACGGCACTCACTCGAAAAACATGCCTCGTATTTTGCAAACGCTACTAGTAAGGCTTTTACTGGGGAAACAAATATTTCAACGATAATTGAGTTGGAAGAGAAGCTTCAGTGTTATCTGTTACTTATTTATGAATGTTTTCTAAGTAGGCTAGGATATTACTACAAATAAATCCATAAAAAATGCAAACAATGTGACAAAATAACATCACGCAGCAGGCTTGGTCAGGATACTTAGTGCACGAGGGAAATGTCAGTTGTAAAAAATGACGATTTTTTTGGAATCATGTGAATAGATAATGAAGTGTGATAATGAAATGTGATAGCATCAAGTTAATGCCGTTAACAGCCTGTTCATATTAGAGTTCTACGCAAATCAAAATCGCGAAGTGAATAAGGAAAATATTTTGTTTAGTAGACACTCAAGACAGAATGTATGAGAACTACATGCAGCAATAAAACTACGCATGACCATCTTTCAAAGTGCGTGACTCCTTAAATACTACGCGGCCATTTTCATCAAAAGATGTGTGCAAATAATTCGGTCTCTGCCGTCCAAAAAAGACCACAGTTACAAAAGCATTTTTGAGAACACCAACACAAAGCCATGCTTGACAAAAAAGCCAAGTGGAAGCAGCAAAAGGCAGACGCAAGCCCGGCACTTCACTGACCCAACGGAAAGCCTCAGCAACAGTCGATTGTCGGCTCCAGGCGAATAATTTGTGTATGTTCGTCATGCAGCTGATATAAGAGGTGTAGACGTCTATACGTAGCAGCGCTGCTCTTAGGTTCACGGATGTGAGGAGCCGACAAAAAGATGAAGAACACAGCAACATTTGCCGGTCGTACACGGCCCTCACGCAACACCGCGACATTGTAAGGAAAGACTTGCGGCTGTAAAATATTGAACCACTATTAAAAATCATAGATAAGTACGTGACTCAACAATTTTGGAATTAATTAGAAAATATTGATGCGCCATCGCTACATACAACAAAACATCCAAAATTCGTAATAGCGAAAAATTTTGCATATAATAACATAGAAATCAATATATCAACATATAGCCTCGACATTACCTTCAAACCAAAAGAAAATTATTGTTAACTAGATTAAATTTGCTTAGGTGGGCCAAAGAAACTTTCTCACTTATAACACACAATCTCTGCAATATAATATTTCGAGCACTTAGTATGTATTATCACGCACCGAAATGCAATACATATATAAGAGAGGTTATTGACTGACCTGTGTTGAATATTGAGAGAATATTCGATGCCTCTGAGCAGGTCGTTAGTTTTGAGCAGCAGCAACATCTGACGGTTGACACGGCCGAGAGTTGCAATGATCTCAGGCAGGAGCTTCGTGGCGTAATTGCTTACCTCGTTGCGCTGTAAGTTCAGGCATAGCAGTCAACTCGTTTATAGCGGCATATCATAATTAAAATTTGGTTTCAAATGAAAAAGCACATTCTCATTCTAGTTAAAACTGTTCATTTCCCCTTTGGCTTCGAAATAGAAACAAATTTTGTTTTCGGGTTAAAATATGCCCACAAGCTAAAACTTGAAAAAATTTTGAAATTCACTTCTATCTATTCCTTACTACACAGTGCAATTTGTCACTAATTAACATTATACCTCAAAAAAAATCAATATTTAATGAAAATCGCAAGTGATGAACGCAGTTCCCCACCACAGCACCTTCAATTTGTTAGCCGATGCCACTGGTGATGCTGTCATCGATGCGGGCAGTGACCGCACAGGTCAAGTTTGGTGCATAACATCACATAATCTCACCTCAGCATCATTGATAGAATGTTTATCAATGCCCCTAGTGATGCTATCCCAGCTGCGGGCGGTAACCATGCAGGCGAAGAGCCCGGCCAGATCACCGACGCCCAACTCGCGTCCGTACTTCGCTATGCCATCCACGTCCTGCCCCAGGATGGCTAGCCAGAACTTGCTGTAGCTCTCTCTGATGTTGTCGCTCACGCGCTGTGTACCGCACGTGGATTATGTCACGGCAATTACTAATGAGTTTGTGAGTTATCTTCATTATACATTTGTGTGGGGCTCAACTCATGTGAGCACGTTAACTAATTAATGAACAATATTAAAAAAACTTAGGAAACATGAAGTACACATATACGTAACAAGTTGATAAATGCAATTAACAGAGAGTCCTGCACTAAGAACTAAAACAGATGAAAAAAGTTGATAAATAGAGAACACAGTAAAATATAAAGAATAAAATAAAATAATAGGTAGACAATATGAGTTTGTTTCTCGTGGAATACCTACTCTAGTTTTTGATTACTGGCAAAATGCTGCACATAAGTGAGATTCCGTGTGCAACACTTTACAAAATATTACTGATCAAAAATCTCAACTGAAATTCAAGAAAACATAAAACAAAGAGATTAATTAAAAATTTGCAGCCTCAAAAGAAAATGACCTGGAGACCACATACAATATACATGTGTGGGTAATTTCTGACTTATGAAAGTAACAATGACGGCGCAGTAAACGTGATAATTTCATGTATGGGAGATCGATCGTTTATGAATTACCTATGTATTGACAAATAACTGCCGCAAATAATCGAGGATCTCCTCCTTGTATGTCTCCAAACTTGGATTTCTATTCATTAATTAATAAAAAATCCGGAACCATTTTCCAAGCAAAAGAGCTTTTCGAGCACTGAAAGAATGATGTTCAATGAAGCAGCAGAATAAATTTAAACTTGATTTACATATTTCATGGATAGAACGAAGACTTGAGAATTTTGAAAGAACATGCAGGTAATAATTTCAAAAATAAGATGGACGTAACCATTTTGGAATGAAAATAGACATAAGAATTTCGAAAACAAGACGGACTTCGGAATTTAACAAAAATAGACTCAAGAATTCTGAAAGGAGTAACATAGACTCAGAAATTTAGAAAGAAAATAGACATAAGAACTTCAAGAAGACCATAGAAATAAGAATTTCTAAAAGATAAAGCCATGAGAATTTTGTAAGAAACATTAAATTACGGATTTCAAAAAGAAAATGGACTTACAAATTTTGAAAAGAACATAGACTTGAGAAAATCAAAGAGAACATTAACGTGAGAGTTAGGACATAAGTGACATACAGCGTAGAGGCCATGATCCAAAAGAATAATTTGAGCATCTCCTCGAGGACGCCTGTTGACCAGCACGTTGCCAGGGTGGGGGTCGCTGTGCACATAACCTCGGCAGAAGATCATCTCGCTGTACAGCAGACCAAGCCGCTCTGCTACCTGCACGCATTCACTAGAATGTGAGTATGATTATACCATAGTATAGATAACATGGAGACAATATGGCTATATAACAAGAAGGCACATACCAAGCAGTCTTACTGAGCAGCAAATGAATTGTGTATTGTCAAGAGGTTTTCAATTTTATTCATATTGTGTTTAATTATTCTAATGTTACATTTAATTTAGTTCAAATACAGGGGAGATTTTTTGTTCCCAGAAAACGTACACTTGATTTGCAAACAAGAAAATTTATTAGAGGCAATCTGATAAAATTATATAAGATAGTTTAGTTTCCAGTGACAAGATCAAAATTGAGTGTAAAAACACAGAAAGGCGATGAAGAACCTCGTCATAAAGGCTTGTCAGACATGCCCACATGTTTTTAAATATCGAACCTTTCAACAGCTTTCCTTTAAATATCAAATATCAAAGCAGCAATTTCATTTGTTAATACTAAAGATCTTGAGACCTCGTGATCCATGGGTAACATGCGCCCAGAGTTAATTTATGGACACCAACCAATGCCGTGCTGCAAGCACCACCTCGACAACACCCTAGCGCCACCCAACAGTAACATCAAAAAACGAACTGAGCTTCCATAGGCCCAAACCTACGACTAGCACTTGTTAACATCTAAGCAAGGAGTTGTGTTGGTAGGAACGCTACCATAAAGTGTGGTAGGAACGCTACCATAAAGTGTGGTAGGAATGCTACCATAAAGTGTGGTATGAATGCTACCATAAAGTGTGGCAGTACTGCTACCATAAAGTGTGGCAGCAACACTATCATAAAGCGTGGTAGTAATGCTACCATAAAGTGTAGTAGTAGTGCTCCCATAAAGTATGGCAGTAACACTACCATAAAGAGTGTGGAAGGAACTCACCACGAAGACTATGGTAACATTTCAAATAAAAATACATTAATATCCTTGCATTAATGCAGCCCAGGGACAGAACACACATGCTCTGCTGGATATGTTCCATAACTTAGCCTGCAGTGTGAGTGACTCTCACCTGCTCTGGGGCAAGATTGTGTGCCTTCATATAGACAGGGTCGTTGACCTGACCGCCCTCACAATACTCCATTGTAAGCACGCGCTTTGTGCTCAATGTCCAGTCTATGGAGGGAACCTGTTAATCACGCAGAGAAGGAGTTAAGGTCACTTGAGAGTTCAGGATCTGAGACCTTCCTGAGATCAATAGCGAAATCCTGACAGTTCAGGATCTCGTTGTTTGATCTCGCAAATAGTTTTAACAACGCGTTGTTAAAGCCATTATAACTATAGTTGTTTGATCTCGCAAATAGTTTTTTGGTACCAAAGTACCAGAAGTTTTAAATTATGCTCTTTTTAAGTAAAATTACAGCATTGAGAGTGGACAAGCTAATCCATAATAATTTTCAGCCATTATTTCCTTGTTTTATCTCCTGTTGTACAATTTCAACAGATACCAGCTGAAGTAAGAAACAGTTCAATTGCTGGCAGTGTTTGAAGTCATCACGATATCACTAATTACCTTGAGCCAAGGGAACTGCTTGAACATTTCAGCCACTTGTTCAGCATTTCTCCCTTCATGTTCAAAGTCTAACTCGAGAGGCAAGTTGATTTTGGTTTCTTCCACCAGCCAATCGAAGTTGAAGTCCGGGAAAAAGTAGCTCACAGCTGACACTAAAAACTAGAACAATCAGTAATACGTTATAATAGGAACTGTATTTACCTCTTGCAAGGTTAGAAAATACCACACCTGAGTCTGATGACTAGGAGTGAACTTTGAGTAACATAACAAAGAATACTAAATAATGAGCAAACTTTGATCTTTTATTATTTTATAATTATTATATTTTATATATATTTTATAATTATTTGTCCGCTCCAAACATTTTTTCAAGACTTTATTCAGCAACAATACATTTTCGATACGTGCCATAAACTATAACTATTACCCTATCTTCAATATTATAAAAAATAATATTCATTTGTCAATTAAAACTTTCAATTCCATTGCAAGGCAAAAAAAAACACCGATGACTATCAATTCTACAGATTATTGACTGGAAGGCATACTCGTCTCCTCATGAACAGCATAACACGCTTATAAGTACTAATTAAGTATGATGATCTCACTTCCATGCCCTTCATGTCAATAGCAGCGTGTTCTTTGACAGTTCTGTGCTGAACTTTGACTGCCACTTTGCGTCCGTCTTGCGTGGTTGCCACGTGAACCTGAGCCAAAGATGCCGCCCCCACAGGCTCGGCCGAGAACGAAGTGAACAGCTCATCTGGCTAGGAAACAGATCCAATTGAGTAAATTGACATACCTATAGTATCATAAACACGCAATGGATATTGAAGACTTGAAACTATTGGCGAAACATTATAAGTGTTACAACGTTTATCTTTTTCAAAAAGTATGAGAAACTTGGCAGGTAAAGTTGCTATGCAATGAACATGTTCTTTCTTTTTACAAAAACCGCTTGTAATTACGTAAACAGAAAAATCATAGTTAAGTTCATGCTTAAGCATCCACTGAATTCAAATGTTTTGTCACTTAACGAAATTAAGTCATTCTGAGTACCATAAAATATCACTTAGTACTTCCATTACAATATAATTCAAGTAAGACCACATACGTCGGCATGTAGCTCTTGTCTGAGGACGCTCTTGACACTTTCTATATCGGACTTTGGAGCTTTGCTGTGCAGCACCTGGAGTGTCTTGACATATTCTGGAGGCAACAGGTACTCCAAGGAGCCAAGGTGCTGACCTATCTACAAGAAAATACTTAGCAAGTTTTGAATTGCGAAAAAATTTCAACTAACTAGAAAATATACTAAATAAGAGGATAAGAAAAAACATATCATGACCATGTAACAATTTAAAGATGGCAAGTGAAATGAAAACTCTTGATGATTAGACTTGTAGCATTCATAAGTGGTGAATGTAATTCATGTGGATGAACTTATCTTGTTAACTAGCTTGTTTAAATACATAACAACAAACAAATTACATTTAATAATAAAAAACACTGCCACACAATTTTAAATGGATAATTATCATGGAATATGACAGTCACAGAGCTGTAAACTAACCTTCACAAATGTTCCACCATTTATGCAGCAAAGCTTCAGCAATTTCTCTGCAGATCGCTGATGTACCTGAAAGAAGGCAGAACAAAGGGGAAGATATCAAGGAAAGATAATGCATGCAGCTCTTAAATGCATACGAAAGTTACAGGTTAAACCAAGAAACTTAGTTTTGCTAGTAAATTGATTGATTTGAGGCAAATTAACTTTGCATTCACTAGTACTAATTTAGCAAATAATAATCTATTGGAACAGAAGTTGTTTTTACACTAAAACATTAAACTTTTATGCATATATGATATTAATTTATTTATTGTCAACTTCTTTCATAAATTATTTCAGTTTTATAGAATTTCGCATGCAATATCAATAGAATGGATTTGTGGGATCACAACCCTTTTCAGAAATCAGCGAGACAAAAACTATTATTTTTGTTTCTCTGATTATTGACATAAACAAAGCAATATGCTCAAGGTCTTTTCTGCAATGAATTATTGTATTTGAAGTGAAGCTATGGGAGTTATTATTAGATCTTAATTTAATAGAAACAACAAACAATTCAAGTAAAAAATGTTTTGGCAGTCAGGACTGGGTATTGCAATATTAGTACTCCATTATTGAAAGCAGATATCTGCATTATTAGGCAGATATTTATGAAACATTAATGCAAAATACTTTCTTTTATAAGGATTTTTTTTTAGTTTTAGGTAAATTTGTTGCACCTTAATGTATTGAAATGGGTCATATTATCTTAGGGATATGAAAATGGTTTGAATTTGATCTGTAAATAGGCAGTTTGGGTCATCTACAAATGGCTACCACTATGGCTGCACTGGCCACGACACTCAGGTCAATATGTTTGCCTTACTCACCTCACTTTTAAGTTGCAAATAATTAGCAGAATCCTTGTCCACGTTTCCCGAATGTAATGACTTCTGATAGTCAACAGCAATCAGTCCAACCTGCAAGAAACAATTTTATTAGAGTATTTAGTGCTAACTTCCTTCTCTATTGTATAGGTCTACTATCACATATGAAAAATGCACAAGTTGCCACTTTCATTTCAAGATGCAACAAAGTGATAAAACTTATGCATACATCTTCTAATCATATTAAGCAAATTGATGCATTCTATTGTTATAGCTTAAAATTTTTCTTGCATTGCCCAATTGCAACAGAATGTATTCGTTGTTATTACTCATTACAATTTGCACTTATTTCTGATGTTATTTATTTATTATAGACCAGAATTCTAGAGGGGTATTATATTAACATAACACATAGCATGTTGGACATAACTAATCACAGTCTGGAGATGGACATGCATCCAGCCAAAATTGACAGAAGTTTTATGCACTAATCTAGAATTCCAGCTTGCTGATGTACTACAGTATGGGCAGAAAATTGTTTCATTGATACTATTTTTGAATCATAATTACTAGCCTCAATTAAAAAAAATCTCACTGCCACACAAGTTCCCACTTAGCAAGAAAGCACATACCTGCCAGCAGCACAAAGTTGTTAACATTTACAGTACCGTCATATGGGGTAATAAGGGACGGTTTTGAGCATTTTTTGTGAATAACCTCTAATCATGAAACATTTCAAAAAGGAGTTTGTGCTCATTTTAAAGGCCTTTGCAAGGGCTATTGTATGGCATCTCTGAAAAAATTCCATATGTTATTTGTAGAGTGCCAGACACAAAATAAAAGCCTCCTGGATTACCCATAGGAATGGGGTAATAAGGGACACTTGAAATAAAACATAATTTTGAAAGGTTTGAAGCAGGCAGAGTGTATTCATCTAATACTAACAGTACTCTGAAGTCCTCCTCTTCCTTTGTAGATGATGTAAATGGCATTTTCTGTGATTTTTACTAGTTTTTCCTTTATTGATATGATATTATCAATAAAATTTCAATATCCGTACATTATGGTATTATTGATGTGATATTACCGTTTCCATGGACATGCCATTGCACATTTACAATGACCTTGTCCACTGCAAGCTTCATATCAGCAGCCATGTAGCATTTCTTCAGTATCTGTAAGCTGAAAATAATTTCACAGCTTGTAATTTCACACCATATTAATTGGGTCAAGTGAATTCACTATACCAAAAAATATATAAAAACATACCTAAAACAGAAAGAATTTTTTGGTGACAACCATCATAGTTTTTGAGAAATGAATCATAGTTTAGGTTAATTACTTTTCATTTTATGTTGCCCAGTGCACACATCTATCTATGACATTCTATGCATAATTTTGTGGTTACCGATGATGCTTAATTTCTCATAAAGTGAAATTTTTTTTTGCTGAGCAAGGTAAATGTAATCAAAATTTTTTGTTGTTAATTGATTTTTTGGCTAACTGGAGCCTTTGCTAACTGAGGTTCTATTGTAAATGCATTTTTAGGGGTGTCCCTTATTACCTTGTCATGTGGAAATGGCAGCCATTTTTTGGGAATGAGCTATGTAAATTCCGTCTATCATGTTTTTTTGAGCCAACGCCTGTGTGCAACTTTCATGTAAAATTTTTAAATACCGCAAATATTTTTGTTGCTACAGTCCTTAGCAGAGGTACTCTTCCAAAATCTCACTTTTCCAACTTTTTTCAGGGATTTTTAGCGCATTTTTTTCATTTATGGAAAAAATGTACTATTGTGCTCGCCATGTCCATCTGTCTGTCCGTCTGTCCGTCCGTGACCTCAAGTTTTTGTTGATGTGAAAATGCGCTCTCTGTCACTCACTGCAGTGAGTACTGAGATATATTTTTTAGAGGTACAGGGTAAAAACGGGGTAAAAAGGGACGGTTTTGAGAGTTTTTTGTTTATAACTTCTTACCATGAGACATTTCACAAACAAGTTTAGGCTCATTTTATAGCTCTTTGCGAGGGCTATTGAATGGCATCTTCAGAAAAATTCCATATGCTGTTCGTAAGGTGCCAGACGCAAAATAAAACCGTCCCGAATTCCCCTGGGAGCAGGGTAATCCAGGACACTTGAAATAAAACCTAATTTTGAAGTATTTTAACATGCAGAGTGTACTCACCCATTACCAGCAGTAGGTACTCCAAAGTCCTCCTCTTCCTTTTAGATGTAACAACAAGGAGCTCAACAAGCTTCTTTAGGGAGTGACCATTGCACTGAGTGACATGGATGTTAGGAATTCTGCCTAACATACAGGCAAGATTTCCACCTAACATCCAGGAAAATTTAAGCAAAAATCTTTGTGATTAACCCATATTTATCTTAACTGTGGCCTTTGCTAACAGAGGATCTGCTGTAAATGTGTTTTAGGGTTGTCCCTAATTACCGCAGGGGGTGTTCTAATAACACTAGGGGGTGTCCCTTATTACATCATTGCACGGAAATGGCTGCCATTTTATTTTTGGTTTATGTTTGGCTTGAAAATGCAATTCCGACAATTGCATTTTCAAGCCGACACCTGTGTGCAACTTTTATGCAAGTACAAATTTTTTTATACGGTGAAGAGGGCCGCAGAACATTAGCTATAGTCTGTAGTAGAATCATTCATGTACAATTGTACCTTAATGTATATCATGTTTTATTTCATTACCTTTTGAGTGTCATGTGCATCTAATTAATCTTGTATCTTGTTCCTCTTGGTGTAATATTTAAGCAGAGTAAAAGTTAATGAGACAAAATTCTTGCAAGTCCATATGATATGCACTTTTGATTAATCTGCACCCCTGATAGCTGAAGTGGAAATTCACTGGTTGCACCTGATTATTTTCTGACCTTCAAAAGCCTGTTTAAGACGCCTTAATGCATGATCCGATTTACACCTCTGCTAGGTAAATCCCATCCTGATGCTCCATTTTGGTGAGTACAGTGCATTTCAGCTCATTAAAATGTCACCATGCTTATATTTGTCTTTGCTGAGCTCTTAACAAATGTTTTCCAGTTATTCATGCCTGTTTATATTGAATGATGGATGGTTGTCACTGGTTTTCATGTTAATCCTGTCCTTTTATTGTACAATTTTCATTTTGCTTACTTGAACCATGTTGTGTCCACCCTTGAATAACTTACTTTCTCCAACCCCTTCTATGCATTGATGACTTTGTGTGTGACAAAACAGTTTAAACATCCTCCTGATGTCAATATTTCTGGAAGGCTAGCATGAACGCATTTATTTGACGTTTAGGAGCGGTTGGTGTGAAGCTAAAGTCTTCTTGATGAGAACCTATGATCACTCGACCAACTCCTGGCCATCAAGAAAGAAGATAAGACATTCTACCTATGAACCAAAATTTGATTTAGATACCAACTTGAAGTTGATGAGCCTTGCACTTTTCCTAGATACCTTGAAACCAGGGACATTCTATGCATAATTTTGTGGTTACCAATTATGCTTAATTTCTCATTAAGTGAAATTTTTTTTGCTGAGCAAGGTAAATGTAATCAAAATTTTTTGGTTCTGTGACTTATATATTTATATTTATATATATTTAAATTTATATGTGACAGTCAAATTTTCTAGTTGTTTGTATGAGTATATTTACCGATTATGATGCTCGTGTGGCTAGGTGTATAGGAGTATATTTAATGACTTGTGCGACTTAGTAGGACCAGTTGTCTTTCATAATCCACTCATGAATGCCCCATACATCAGCAAGGAAATCATGTTGTTGTGTCAAGAGTAGTTGAGTAGTTGAAACTTTAGTCTGACTAGCTAATAAACCAGAAGTGCAAAATTAGGATTCGCTGATTTAATTCTTGAACTGCCTAACTTTGCTTTTTTCTTGCTTTACTTCCATTGATGTTCAACATTTAGGTATTGTGTGACCTAGTCCACTTATGCATTCCTGTGCTTGGCAACTATTTGTTTCTATTTGCTAGCCACATACCATTTGCTTTCAAAGTGTGCTCTAGACCCTAGATTAATCATTAGCTCTCCCAACAGCCCAGCAAATGGTAAGATGGCTACAACCCTTTGGGCATACTTCCTGCCATAAGGTAAGAGTATTGGTTCTGAGTGCAGTGTGGAGTGAGTGCGGCGTGTCTGGGTGTGGTATGTAAGTATGTGTGTGACTTGATCCACAAGCCACTCAGCATTGATCTCCATCCCTCCACCAGTGGTCAAGTTTTGCCTTGCCAACTATCACTCCTTGGCTTGTACCTGAAGCCTGTGATGGTTACTACTTGATTTATGATTACTATTTGATTACCACTACTACTAGGGATGGTTAATACTTGATTTGTGGTTGTTAAAACCATAGTTGGCCTTGGCTAATGTTTGAGTAAGACATTTTTATTATCCAGCAGCAGAAGCTGTTAATAACTATTTTCCAGTTTGACTTTACTATTATTTCGTAGTTACTCAAAACTACAACGCTGAGAGGCCTCAGTGGTCCACTCATTAGAGCACTTAACCCAGACCACCAAGTGGGCTGAACTGACACCACTGCTAGTGTTTCAGTTAGACTAGGTACCATCCAGTTATTGTTGTATCTACCATTTTGTATTTTGTGTTTTGTTATTAGAAAATTGTTTAGTGTTTTCTATGTTTCATGCCTTCCTGAATGTGATTCCTTCTGACCGCATTCAGTATTGGTTTCCGTGTCCACGGACTCAAGAGCTACAGTCTCGCATATTTGTGCGGGCTTACCGGAAACTGCTACATAATTTACATAATTTTTAATTTTTACATAATAACAACGGTGAATTTTTTTTGCTCCAGACCTTAGTAAAAGTACCTACTGTTCCAATATCGCACTTTTCACACTTTTTTCAGTGATTTTTTAGAGATAACAAATGTTTGATTTCTGACTAGCTTTATACACAATAGATATTTAAAATGTAGAAGTTTATGCCACTATTTTTAGTTTTGCAATATTTTGATTAGTTTAGCTGCTACAACATTTACACGAAATGTGAAACGCACATCCCGATTTACCCCGCCTGTCCCTTTTAACTCCATTTGATGGTAGTATATGTATGATTTTTAAACAGGCTCGATGCTACATAGATATGAAAAAAATTGAACTTTACACCACTATTTTTCAGTTTCACAATATTATAATAATTTTGAATGAAAATAACCTAGATTTCTGGTAACATGTAATTCATAGTAATAAATACTTGTTCACATATGAATGAGTATGGATATATAGGGATGAAAATGAATCACAATTCAACATATTTCCAATATTTTTGAAAAGGCATTTAACATATTACAATTATCATTCCTCCTCATTCCCTTTGTAAATGACAGCTTTATCAGCATGTCTTGCATTCAATAATCCACTTTCATATCTCCTGTGAATGGCTCCATTGCCCAAGTCTCATAGCAGTTCACCCTTTCTTGGCAATAATTATCAATTGATTTATGCTTTCAGTGCACCATTCTGAAAAAAACTATATTACGATCAGTTTGTTAATGAAAAACCTAAAAACCTTGAATTGCACCCGCCCTCAAATTGCACCCCCTCCCCATGGCCTCAAGGTCAGAGCGTCACAGTGTGCCTGCTGGAGTGCTGGGGCTAAATGCGTAAGGACTCCCTCAAATTCCACACTGTTGATGTGATATTACTTTGTCTATGGACATGCCATTGAGCATTGACAATGACCTTGTCCACTGCAAGCTTCATCTCCGTATAATGGCGTATATCATTCCTTCTGGCTTCTGTAACTGTAAGCTTACAGGACAGCTTATAATTTCCCACCATTTTAATTGAGTCAAGACTCAAGTCAATTCACTGTAATAACAAAAAACTCATGAAAGCATACCTGAAACAGAAAGGAATATTTTAGCAACAACCATCATATTTTTTGAAGAAATAAATCATAGTTGAGGTCAATGAGGTGAAGTTTTGAACTACTTTTCATTCTATGTTACCCAGTGCACAATTCTATCTATTACATTCTATGCACAATTTTGTGATGACCAATAAACGCCAATGATGAATTAATTTTTTGTTACGGTAAATATTTTTGCTGAACTAGGTAAATTTAATCAAAAACTTTTGTTTTCAATTGATTCTTCTAGTCAACATGAGCTCTTGCTAACCAAGATTCCACTGTAAATGTGTTTTTTGGGGTGTCCCTTATTACCCCATGGCCCATAACCCATTGAGCAGAAACGGCTGCTTTTTTGGGGGAAATAAGCTACGCAAATTCTGTCAATCACGTTTTTAAGCCAAGCCAACACCTGTGTGCCACTTTCATGTAAGTAAAATTTTCTAATACGGCAAACTTTTTTTTTTGGTACAGACCATAGCAGAGGCACTTTTCCAACATCTTTCTTTTCACCTTTTTTTAGGGATTTTTTAGAGGTAATAAATGAATGATTTCTTAACTTGCTTTATGCTACACAGCTAGGAAAAATGTTGAACTTTACACCACTATTTTTAGTTTTGCATTATTTTAATTACCGTCAACCAGGGCTACTCGGGACAATTTCGAACATTTTTCATTCATAACTTCTTACCATGAAACATTTCATAAACAAGTTTAAACTCATTTCAAAGCTCTTTCCAAGGGCTATCACATGGCTTCTCCAAAAAAATTCCATATGCTATTTGTAAGGTGCCAGAAGCAAAAAAAAAAGGTAAATTTAATCAATATTCTTTGTTTTTAATCAATTTTGTTGTAACTGGAGCCTTTGCTAACTGAGGTTCTACTGTAAATGCATTTATGCGGTATATTCCGACACATTAAGGACGCATTAAGAAATGAAAAACTATAAAAAAATAATGTATGCGTTACTCGAGTTTTGTTTGCTTTATGTGACTTGCAAAACACAGTACTACGCACCAGCAATGATGAAACGTCACAAAATGTTGCCATATTTATTTAAAAGCCTTTAGAATGCAAACCTACCAAATCCCTATATTCCGACACTGTGTGTGGCAATATTCGGCACGTGGTGAGGCATATTCCATCCGCGCTTCAAATTCTACTGATACGTAATGCCGTCATCCACGTGTTCGATTTCCATTTGCTGTGTGAGCTGTATTGGAATACAACACAGCTTTGAATTAGAACACTAATGAATATTGAACACTACTTAATTACGCTTTAAATTAATAACTATTAAGCTTTTAATTAAGCAAATTTTAATTTTTGAACATAGCTTGGAATAAACTGTGTGTGTCCAATTCAAGTTGTGACGGAATTAGTTTTCATGTGTCTAAATCCATTTCTCAACTTAATCATCTATTAATTTATTTACCACTTGAAATCAGCAAATACAAGTATACTTAAAGGATTCCCAATATATTCACAGATGTATTTAAAAGTCTCAAACCATAATATTCTTCCTATACAAACAGTTATTCACTATTTGGTAGAGCAAGGTCAACTGTCAAATTTGACACATTTTTTGATGATCTGATTGATCTCACTGGGTAGCGTGCATTGTCTCCCTTTGGATCTCAATATTTTACCGCTAGATGGCCAAGACCTAGTGTTTTGGCAGTAGTTCGACGCGCAAATGTATGACGTCACCATTTCCACCATCAACGAACGCATGGAACTAAAACAAAGCTTAATATAAAGGAAAACTAGAGAGGTGACGGAATTACCCACAATGTCGGAATATACCGCGTTTACCCTACATAGTGGCAGAGCAGAGAGTTTTTTAGACTCTCCCTCAAGTTCATTTTTGAGTCCTATATGTAGACCAATAAAGTATCCTGGATACCAGCATTATCATAAATAAGAAATTGGTTTAAATCTTGAGTAAATGAGGAAATTAAAAATTAACTGATTCTAAAAAGCTCTGGTTTGCCACTATGTTACTGCCATAGTGGCAAAGAAGAGAGTTTTTAGACTCTACCTAAAGTTCATTTTTGAGTCCTATAAGTAGACCAGTAAAGTATCTTGGATACCGTACCAGAATTATCTTACATAAGAAATCTGTTAAAATCTTGAATATATGAGGAAATTAAAAATGAGCTGATTGACTGATTCTAAAAAACCACTGGTTTGCCACTATGCGTTACCCTATATTCAGTTTTGCAATATTCCAATTAGTTTTGCTACTAAAACAGTTTTACACCGTGTCGGAGGACTCAGGACCATAGTGGCAAACCAGTGATTGTTTAGAATCAGTTCATTTTTAATTTCCTCATTTACTCAAGATTTTAACAGATTTCTTATGTATGATAATTCTGGTATCCAAGATACTTTATCATGGGTCACATTTTTAATTTTTTAACCTATTAGATATGCAAACTTTTCAAATCTTTCTATTGTGTTATGTGGCCTCAGTATTAGGCCTTTAATGCCCATTGACAAAATTTTCCTATGTCAAATAGTTTTTGAGTTATGGGGGTTTTTGTTAAAAAAACGAAAAGTGGTCTAAGTTACCCCATTTTACGGTACCCCGTTTGACAGCATAGGCCAAATTGACAATTTTAGGGTCATTAACTCAGACAGTATATTTTACTTATTAAACATCATCGAAACTTTTAGCTATTATACATCTATATTAAACGAAAAAACATTAGCTTTTAATAAATAATTTAACGTACATAGCAAGCTGCTCTTCCAAAACGTAAAACACCGACTGGAATGCTAGAAAAGTCGTCTGCTCCCAATACGACTCCGGTTGCAACACCAGCAGCAGCTGCAGTACCACAAAATAAGCCAAGCCATTTAATAGTCCGATAGCCAATCGCTTTCATTTTTGAATACCGGTTTGGTAATTCTTGCTGAGCTAAATATATTTCTTTTCAAAGTTCAAACCATTCGTGTCACACTGTCACTGTCATGCAGGTGAACTTAAGTTCACTTTGCAAGCTACACTGCCGCCACAGTAAGAGTTACCCTAAAATTCAGGCAAAGTGCTTTAAACCGCATTCCGGTGATTAGTTAAAGATCTCGGACAGAGTTCCAAAAAGAAAAAAAAAATAACTCATTGGCGGCTTCAAAATAATAATTGCCAGTGCCAAAACTGTCAATTGCTATTTCTCCGAACTTACGAAGTGTTTTCACTTCATTTGTTGTTTGTTTGACTGGTCAGATTTATCTCGAGCGATTGCCTATAGAAGTGCTGTTTACAGTTTTTCTGAAAATTGTACTTTCCTCGTGATTCGTGACGGTAGCTATGCTTTGTTACTTTTGTTAGTTTACTCAAAGTCACAGTCACAAATCACAACCTCAATTCGAGGCTAAGAGACTGAGGAGTGAGGTTCTAGCCTAGGACTCAAGTCGAGAGTCAAGGCTGAAGGCCCTGAGAGGCTGAGCCCCTTCTTCAAGTTTTAAACTCACTCTCTCAAGGACCACTCATGACTCACCATGGCCCTGAACTGAAGCAAGTGGACTAGGCTATGAGATAAGCAGGCTGCAGCCTAAGCTAATGCATTTCATCTTTCATGTACTCTTGTGCTGTGTTTGCTCACTTTGCTGTTAGGTAAAAATAAATTCTATAAGCTGCCAACATTTTCCCAAGTCCCAACAACAACATTGAATTTTATGTTCTTGTCAAACGTGCCAGTTTCAATTGAATCATGAATTGTTGGAATTATTTTCTAGAAATGTTCCAATTAATACTTTTATGGGAGTGAGTTGTAGGTCTACTTTTACTCAGGGTTTGAATTTCCCTACTTGTTTCTGAAATCTCTTGGCTCAGGCATGACAAATTTATAATACATAGTACGGAAACTTGCGGTTCAAGTTCCAACCGTGAACTTTTGTCAACAATTAGATAGTAGGTTATTCATCTGATGGGAATCTTGTGTTTCTGGAAATGGCGGGAAAGCTCTAGTCGTGAGCCGTGGCTCTAAAGGGATATGTTTTCCATGCTTGCTTATACTTCTAACTAGTTTGGAATTCTCCTAGGGTAAACGCGGTATATTCCGTCACATTAAGGACACATCAAGAAATGAAAAACTATAAAAAAATAACCGTATGGGTTACTCGAGTTCTGTTTGCTTTATTTGACTTGCAAAACACCGTAGGTTATTCATCTGATATGTATCTTGTGTTTCTGGAAATGGCGGGAAAGCTCTAGTCGTGAGCCGTGGCTCTAAAGGGAGATGTTTTCCATGCTTGCTTATACTTCTAACTAGTTTGGAATTCTCCTAGGGTAAACGCGGTATATTCCGTCACATTAAGGACGCATCAAGAAATGAAAGACTATAAAAAAATAACCGTATGGGTTACTCGACTTCTGTTTGCTTTATTTGACTTGCAAAACACGGTA